ATAATAATAATTTGAAAAAATTCCTTCGATTATTAGCAGTGAGGTATACTTACCCACCGTAGAAATATTATAGTGTTTCTTCATTAAACATTATTACTTTCGTTTGACAATCGGTTTTCACAGCGAATAACCCCAACGGCCCAATGGTTCTACCTACCAGCTGCAAGTACACTTGCAGTTATTATTTATACTCTTTTCCACTATTAACTTGTGTTCACATTAAACTGTTGATCGTGCAATCATCGACGTCACTTCGGTCCTACGTCGTTGATCTTATTATACATTCTCATAATAGATACAAGAAAGGTATAAATAACGAAAACAACGTTTTTGCCTTCGATGCGTAACTGTAAAAGTACTGTGTTTTTTTCTATTATTTTCTTGTGCCCCGTATTCTGTAGACTCATTAAACAACTTTTTCTCTTTGGACCGATTTCCTCGAATCGCATTTTTATGTATAAAATCAATAATTCTATGTACTTGCGCATTACAATAAACCAAAATTAATTTCTCCCTTCCCAAAAGAGATAGGAAAACGAACAAAACTATTGAACGATTGATTTAAACGAATTGATTTTGCAAACGAATTGTCAAATCGAGTATTAACATTAATGTGACATTTATTAACTGCCTATCAATAGATTGAAAACTGTTTAACGTTTATACTGTGCGAGCTTCCAAGTAGCACAGGGAAAGTCATCATTGGTCCAATGATAGTCCTGTAGATAAACTTATGCACTTACATGTTTTTTGTAAACTTTTAACAATATAGAAAACGATTATAAATTATACTATTACTTGTCATAGGCCTATCCTCGCCAGTTAAACTCAAGAAATTATTATCCAAAAAAAGGGTGTGCTTAAAACACACTTACAAATTTGACGAAAGAAAATTGTTACATGCGACTGATTCTCTTAAGGTACAAAATGTTACCAGATGTGCCCACAGCAAATATATATATATATATATATATATATATATATATATTGGTTTAAATGACAATTATGCAATCAAACATAATGTTTCGTAAACATAAAAATTATAATTTAGTTAAGAATTCTGAATTTGTATAAATGGCCGGTTAGAAACTAGAATGAACCAAAATAAAAAAATTGTGAAATAAACGCTCTAAATGTACCCATAAGTGGGCTTAAATTCTTGTAAACCATAATAAATGCTGTTCTACTGGGTGTCATAAGTCATAATAACATTCAGATGTTTCATTTAGTATACTAAATACGTAAATAATAAAACATAAAAGTAGATTAGTTCAGGATATATAAAATATATGTCATGCATAACATACGAATAAAGTTCTTCTAGTTCTGTATAACATCGGTTTTGTGTTTTTTTTTTATTTGTGCCTGTTTATCGTATCATCTTGAAGTCAAAATACCGAACAGACATTTTGTTAATTTCCAACGTATAAATTATTTAATATGTATCTATTAAAGTATATATTATTTCACGTTATAAATAACCTTAAGTTCGGAGTTCATCGCATAATATTTGTTGTTGTTCTACTTTTAACTATTTTATCTTGAAATATTCATGTCCGGTAGATAATACTTACATGCCTTTTGTGTCGAATGTAATAAAAAATGAAATTGTAGGCAAACATAAAACAAACATTAGTACAATGGACGGTTTATATATTTTTAATGTACTTTTAGAACTAACTTATCAATAAAAATAACACGACCGTATTTTAGTATGAACTTTTAACACCAAACAGTATTATTTGGAAAACACGAGTGTAGGGCGTAAATTGAATATACATAAATACATATGAAATTATTGGTGTCGGGTATTTTTTTATAGCTTAAATCTACGTTAAAGAATGCCAAATGTATTTTTTGAAACAATTATTGTATTGTTGTAGAAACTATTTTGAAACAAATAAACTATGCGGGGTAGGCGTTATACATCAATGCAAATAGGTATATAACAATAACATTTACATAGTTAACACATATTTAATTGTTTAATTTTTTAATTGTCACATATTTATTATTTTAATGTATATCTCGACAATAAATATTAAGCTGCGCATTTTTGAAAAAGACATTAAAACCGCTGAAGTAATAATCGTTAAAACGTAAAATTAAGATTTCATATGCCTACTTAGCCGAATAAATTTAAATATTGACTTTCAAAACAAATTAACATACGATATGATAATTTATACGGCCTCTTAGATGAGTAAGCAAGTCGGTTTCTCTCGAATCTATTTTACATACGAGTATAAAATCAACCCTTTTCAGTATAGTTGGTAAAAAATAAAATATAAATTTCATTAAGTATTGTTCGACTTAAATTTCCCTTTGAAAGAGTAGAAAACAATAATCTTTATTATTACTCATCTAAGTCATACAGTATTACAGACACAGCGGTTATCATTGCGGTCATAGAAGTTGCCTAAGAAATGCAGAATAAAAAAGTGGTTAGGATATGTTATGTTATTCATAAAATACTTGGTCGTAAATCGTAATATGACTATTCTCTAACTATTCTCTGCAGCTATTTAGATTAAAAAAAAACATACAAGATTGGAATCGAAATTATCACCGACGACGCATACCGGAGAATATGATATGTGATTTCTACTATACTACCTACAGGTACAACCCCATATTGGTAATTGTTTTATTGAGATATAAGCAAATACTTCCTATAAGTGCTTATTAGGCAACAATCGATAAACGACCGTGCTCTCGACGTGAAAGTTTCCCGGAGACGATTAAAAAATACTAATTGTACACTTAACCGTAAATTCTACTAGGAAATAATAATATAGTTCAAACTATGCACAAGCCACGAAAACAAAATAATGCGAGCAATTCGTGTAAACTAAACACGCGATAAAACAAATTATATATAAATTACCAATCGTTAAAAAAAGCTCACTAAAAATTATTAAAATAAGGATTTTTTAAGGCAATTTATTGGGTGTACAAGCTTGAAATTTAAAAACATTTTGATCATTTATTTTGGTTCGAAAATAGAATATGGTGTCTAATGTCTATGGTTTTAATTATCAGAAAAATAAAGGAAACCGTTTTTAACGTATGTTGTGTTTTTTTACAAACTGTTGTTAAAGTTTGCTTTTTTGCAAACTAGCGAAAAAGTTTAAGACAATTTTACTCATTTAGTATGAACAACTATTTGAAATCAGTCATATATTTTACCTATCAGTCATTTAATTTAATTTTTAATGTAATTGCTATTAGGATCCAGAGACTTCAACGCCTTGAACCTCAAGTTGAACAAAATACTTGTAAAGTAGTACCTTCAGTGATTGAAGTATAAATAATATTAATATTAAATTTATGACAAAACCGTAGGTTTAAATGTAATTTTTTAATGAAAATAATATATACTATGAACAACTTTTACCTAGATTCCGTTAGGTTCGGTTAAGTTGTGCTAAGAAAAATATTCACAAAAATTTAAGTTTCTTAAATTAAGATTCTTTTTTTCTAGTTGATAATATCCACTGGGACTTTTTAATATGTTTACAATTATTTACACGCACACCCTAACGTTGGTTAAGACCAATTTCGACTGGGAAATTGCTCCAGTTTTGTTTTTATTGCATATTGACTGGTCCACAGAGATAAATATTATCGTCAATGGAAATCGTCGTACAACGGTACTTAAATGTATCTTTTTTTTTCTTCTGAACCATTTACCCATTTATCTTGTACCGCTAGACACTCGTGGTTTTATCTCTCTAACGCGGTGCGTCGATAATTATCGTACAGGCCATCACATAGAAACACAACAATGGCCTGTATGAATACCTTAGGGGCATTACTGGTGACATTATTATTATTATTATTATTATTATTATTGCTATTACAATATACGTTATGTATTATTATTATTATTGTACGCAGAATGATAGTGGATAACAACGAAATACGACGATATAATGGATACTCGCATACATACAAGTACAACGAAGGTCATCAATAGGCCACACCTAGCGCTGAGCGGATCGTTTTGACATTCCAGAACGTTTTCCTCTCGATAGGTATACACACAAACGCAGCTGCCTATGGTATTATCATTTTGTGTATAATATAATGTACACCAACTATACATATTATTATATCAGTTCATAATAATATATTATGTGTGTTATAGTAAATATATACATGCATCCAACACAAACTACACACACACACACCACGGATGTCTAAATTCCTATTATTATAATATGTTGTTCGTCTAGTCTATCTGTCGTACACGAGTACTACAATCTTACACAGGAAACCTCCCCTCCCCCGAACCCGATTAATTAACCAAACGGGCCGATACTCAAACGGTTTATAGTCTTAAAATGTCGTGCCTCGTCTATTGTCTATCACCTATGAAAATGTTGTACATTTTAATGCGTTTACACGACGTCACGTTTCGCCCGTTTTCCTCCTTCCGAAGGAGGGGAACATATTATTTATTATAATACAACAACAATTTCAAGAGGGGAAAAATGTTAACAAATACGAATTACAGTAGACATTTATCACCGTCGACGGTTTTGCATAATATAAACCGTTTAACCTCGTTAGATTGATTTTTTTTTTTTTTTAAACACTAGTACCTATTAGTGTACAGCTAATATACGACTACAGTAGGTAACAACCGATTGATATCAACTGATAGATTGCACCGAGTGAAAGGACCTCCTCGGTTATTTCGCAATGCATATAGGTATGATAGATATCCGCCACAGCCGCGTACACAATATATCAATTTTGACCGGTACCATAAAATCCTAACGAATGTTAAAAAAAAAAAAAAATATTTGTCTAAAGAATTTGCTTCAAGGACCACCGGACAATCTTAGATTATTTGTTGATTTTTGTTTTCCTCCGAATTTTACCCTAACCCACTATTCCTCGTGTTCGGGCGGGTAGTGCACGTGACCACTAACTTGGAAGTTTTATTTCGGTATTATAATTGTTATAACAGTATAATTGATTGGAAATCTTACTTCGAGAAATGATTATTATCGCGAAACAACAATGGTGATCGTGCGGTATCGTTATCTCCGCCGATAGTGGGACCGCTGGATTGGCACTGCAGCATCCGACGTCACCTCCTTGTGTTACTTGTTGTGTTATTATTATTGGTGTACAACACGACGCGACGGTTCTGTGGTAGTCATCGATTGAGAAAAACGTCGTCGTAGAAAAAAACGACAAAACAACACGAAATTTTCAGATTATAAAAAAATGGCGTTTACGCGAACCGACTGTGGAAGAACCGTGTGAACGAAAAGTGAAACGGCAAGTGCGCGTGTGAAAGCGACGGCGGTCGTTTCGGATCTGGCCACGACGGAGAAGCAACGCGCGACTGGCCGTACCTATTCCGGTCGGGCGGCACAGGTGCCGCGGTAATGCTATGTACCTGAGTCACGGTGCTGCGGCGGTGTGGCCGCAGCCTAATGTCGACGGCGCGGCGGCACGTCCTACCTGCCACGGCCGCGGCGGCTGAAGGGGTCATGACTAGCTTCTGCGGCTGGCGGCTGGCTGGATGGTAGGTACATGCACGGTCCGTTGGCCGCTGCTACCCGACACGGCAATTATTACAATGTGTACCCATATACTATACATATTGTACATATTATATATATATATATATATATATATATTTATTTATAATGTGTGTATGATGGGATTTAAAAAAAAAACCATTTATCAGTTAACATGAACATAATATATGACAGTGGCGTGGCGAACTCAAAATTGTCCACAGTCAAAATCACATGTCCGTATAGTAACGAAGGACTCCTCTATCATAACCTGGACAATCCAAATTGGAATCTTCTATAATACAGCAGTGTTCAAATTGGAAGTTCCCAATTTACCACTTCTCGTCCCTTACATAACAGGGTTGGATAGGCGATTAAACAATGCTCGCTCCTAATCCGTACACCTGACAGGAGTGTTCAAATTGGGAACTATCGAAATTAGATTGAAATAAACCAATAGCATGGGCCATCCGAAGTTCCTGAACTTACATTAAATATCTTCAACTGTCAATATACAAGAGCATATGATTGTAACCCACAGGACTGTATTTAAAAATCGTTTAGCCTCCTCCTCTATTCCTTCTATAAGCTCTACGTCATATTTTCTGTAAAAAAAAATTCAATTTTTAATTTATTAATATTAGTAGGCATGAGCATTTTTATGAGGATAAAGGAACTCTCTTTTAATCAATGATAACAACATCCCCATCCTCTCAAATAAAAAAAATACTGAACACACCACTCCAGATATGTACTATGTTATGTATACAATAAGATATTTTTAGTTATTATATTTTACTAAATTTGTTTAACAGCTATTAGTAGTGTATTTATACTATTTAAGCAATCTGGCGCGTGACGACTGTTTAAGTCTCCCAAATGGCTAACTAATGAGTACCTAATAGGTAGGTACCTACTACTAAGTACCATCATACCGAATTAAAATGGAAATAAACTAATTAGGTACTAAATATATAATTAAATCTAATTTTTTTGCCCAAAAAAATTATATTTATTACTAATTTTGAATTTCTTAGTACAATATTTGCAATAAATAACAATGCCTATAGGGATATAACTCGCTGAGTTCAAATATTATTATTATTAGTATTATGAAACAATTCTGTGGTCTATATGGGCTACAATTTAATTTAGATTACTTTTTCATACAATGAATTCGAGTAAATGATAAAATATTATTTAGATTTTAGGATGAAAATAATGTCTACATTTCACCATAATATTTTATGCTATAGGTGTAATATCTGAAAGTATTTTTTTGTAACTTAACAAATTTTTATCCTCGATTAGCAATCTATTTTACGTATTTACTCTTTACCTACGTTATCGGACGTGACCTTAAATTGTTAAGACCCACACCAGCATTTCATAAGAGTGCATGCCAACTTTGTTATTGGGTGCACGCAACAAGTACTAATTGCTTATATTATTTTATGTAGGTCGTTACTAGTTTTGATTGATTTGTAGATAACGCACATTTTATGCGGTTTAGCCGTACAAATAAAACTGGAGTGGAATTATAAAAAAAACACAATAATATCAGTTCAGTTGATCATAAATAGTACAAAACAGTTTGGGTATACACGCTAGAAGTTTAGTACGTCAAAATATATTATACCTATATTAATGGTTTATTTTATGTTTATTTTTACATAAGTATATTAAATTTTACCTGAAAATTACCATTGTAATACAATGATATTTAAAAAATATATATTTTAATAGTTGCGTTGCCCTGACTTTGCCCCCGGCTATGCAATATGTAAATCTGTCAAACTGTCCATATGTCAGCTGATTAGCAGCTGTAAGCTATGATATTTGCGCACTTGCGCCATTTATTGGAATAAACTTTCACTGAAATTTTAAATTAAAAAAAAATTTTTTTCGCTAAAACCTTATTTGGATTATTACAATAAAAAGAAAATTAGCCAAATCGGTCCAGCCGTTCTCAAGTGCATCACGTTGCACAAACAGCATTTCATTTTGATTTATATAGATTTCGACGCTGATGTGACGAAAATGTAACTAAAATGTGTTATGGCTCTTTCTCGAATACCTAATTGGTTAACTATTAAGACATACATTTCTTAAGTACTTGGAAACATTTTAAAGTAAAACGTACCTGAGAATAACATTTTACAAAACTATTGCTAACATATTATTTTTAGATAAGCCATTTTGGAAGTCTCAAGTTACCCAGTTTTGAGCAACGTAAGAACTTTAGTCGCGCTCATAAGTTAAGTAATTTTGGTATTTTTCAAGTAACCAAACAATGTAAGAAGCAACACGTCTCTTAATTTTGAGTGTTTTTTGATCAACCTAATATATTAACTAAAAAAAGTTGGTAAAAATGTCGAGTTTTCTCACAGATTTAACGAAATTTTTCAATAAAAGCTTAAGAAATATATTTTTACAAGACCTAAGTATTTGTTTCCCAAAAACGTTAAACATTTCTTTTTTTTTTATATATATAATTTTTTACAATTATAAAAGAATTATTAAACTAGGCGGCGAGTAGGTACAATAAATTACAAATTTAATTTTTTTTAAACTATTTAGCATTATAATTGTTTCTTTTTTTTCTAACATTACAATAATATTATATTCTACGGTGTAATGTTATTATTATTATTATTATTCTTAATTATTAATATTATTATTATTATTACAATAATACGCATTTCATACACTCCAAAACAAAGCAATTTCCGCTTTAATATAAACGATGTATAAATAATAATAATAACAAAAATAATTGTATAAATAAACATGCAGACAGTGTAGATAAGTTAAATTACATAAATTCTGTAGCAAATATTATTTTACGGATAAAATATGTAAACTTGTGTGTGTAATACATGATAATATCATTATTTGTTAATTAGTATATAAATAAAAATAGCAAAAAATATAATAATGCATGTAAATAGAACGTACATTTTTGTTTATTAAGACACTTAACCAAGACATTGTAAATATACATACATACTCACATCGTTAAAAATGTAAAAATAAATAAATAAAACAATCTACTCGTTTAATTTAAATATTACAAAATTACAGTAAATCTATTATATTATGTTACTGTGATGTAATAATAGAAAACATTAGGCAAAATAATTTTTACCCATTTCTGTCGATCGACTTTCAAAGGAATTTTGGAAGGTAATATATATATATATAAAGATATACAGTACACTTTAGTATAAATACTTTATAGACTACTGTTACTAAAAAAAAATCTTAATTTGACAAAAAATGTTCAATGTTTTCTTTTCGTTCAATTAAAGTACCTACGCAATATCACTTTGACGAGATAAGACGACTAGCTTTCACAATAAATCTAAATATTATACATTACAAGATTGAAAAAATATTTTTTTTTTAAATACAGTACCATATACGTGTTTAAGTAAAACATTTATTTTTTTAAATATTTTTAGAATCGATTTGAGGTAGGTACTCGGAAAATTAAGTATAAAAAAGAAATTAAAAAAAATTTGTACGACAGGTCGAGGAATCGTTTGGTTTACGTGCAAAAAACTGCGGTACTAGTGCAAAATATTATCCTGATAAAAAAAATTACATAAAAATATTCAAAAATAATTATATTTTAGACAATTCATCGACGTGTAACTTGTACGATTTTTTTCACGTTGTTGTTATTATTATTGAATTCGATTAACCGAGTACCGAGACCATAATAATAATTATAATATCCATGTAGTGAAAAAAATAAACCCCAAAAAAGTACAAAACGTTACATGAATTGAGCAAAAACAACCAACGTCCCATTAAACGTTTACTCTCGGATGACATTTTTGTTTTATAACACATTTGTTATGCATTGGAAAAAAAAATGAACAATTTTTCCCCATATACAAATGGTAAACCTAATAAAAAGGAGAAGTCGATGACACGACACAACAAATCGTTCCGCCTGCTTTGATATTATCAAAAATACTTTAAAAAATTCAGTTTTCCAAGAATACATGAAAATAAAAAAATATAACGATAGCTACCGAAAGAAAAGCGAGAAAACAAAAAAAAAATTACTTAATACTCATTATAAAATGTACGATGGCAGCCGACAGCTAGTGATTTAGTCAAAATATTTTAATATTGTACGTATCTAATTTTATTCAAAACAATTTTTTTTTTTTTTTTAGCAAAACTTATCAAAGCGTTTTTCTAGAACAAACAACACGAGACAAAAAGAAAGCTTAATGTGAGAAAATGTATAAAAAAATAAATTAAGCCATAAATATAAGACTAGTAAAAATGGAAAAATATTATACAGAAAAAAAAATAATGGTAATTTCTATAATACACGACGAACCCATTGGGCGAATGATAATATTATGTTCGTACGTACTTTTATACAGCGGTGGCAAATACAGATTATGTTTAAAGAAAAAAAATATGTCTAACACTATACGACAAGCGTAGAAACGCTAGAATAGAAATAAAAATAGGTATGCCTTAACTTAACAATATTATATATTATATAAATAAATAAGTATAAATTTAAAAAAAAAACGTACAGGCCCGCATATTAAGATGTTTGTCAAAACGCACCCCCAAGTCGAACACAAGGATTATATTTTTCATCATTGAATTCGACACAAGCCGATAGTGGACGACTTAAACCGATCGAAACATTCATTTGATCAACGACAAAATCGAATTCGAATAGAATTTATCAATTTTATGCTCCCAAAACTTTCAGAGTACAAAAAATGTGCAAACAGTCTTCTATCTCTAAGATATTTTCATTTTTTTTTTTTTTTTGTAAAATATATTTTTGTGCTTATATGTGTATGTATGTTATGACAAAATAACTTTTTTATTTTAAGGTGCGGTGGGGGGGGACATGTATCCAAAACAACAGTACACACACTTGTAACACACGCTGTGGAAATATGACAGACTTAACGTAACTTTTATTTACACAATAATATTTTAATATTAGTATAAAAAAAAATAATGCCTTAATTTTAGGCAAACTAATATGAGAAAATCGTTTGCTATTGACTAGTATTATTCTAATTTTGTAACGATCAAAATATATAATAATAGTAATAATTAATATAAAATTGGTCAAAAAAAAAAAATTAACTACATTTTTTTTTTTAATTATAAAAATTCCACTTTAATGCATATTAAATTTACAATGTAATCATGTGTCCATGTGTGTATGTGTTAATTTTATACATGTGTTGCTAAAACGAATCACAAGAATAATAACACCCTTTAAAACGCACCACCTCCTATAGTTGTATTGGTTTTTGCAATTAATTTATCTAATTTGGTTAGGGGAAATTGACGGTCAAAATAAATGGTAACTCACAATTGACCGTTACACTATTGTACTGTAAAAAAAAAAAATGTTGGCACCTCAAGTTTTACATTTAAATCACCCTAGAGTCAACGCTCTTAGTTAACGCTGTTAAATGTATTAGTTGTAGCAAATTATAAAACTTAGAACAACATTGGTCAATGGCACTAATCTTTTCTTAAAATTTATAATAATTATTTACTCAACTAGGAACCGTGCGATAAACCTAGTTATTTTATCAAATTGTAAGAGAATTTAACCAAAACTGACTCAAAACATAATGAATACGTATTATGTTCTTTTATCAAATACATTTGTTCGCAATTTGTGCAAAACTTAAATAAAACATGTGATGATTAAATACGAGATTGATAATACAACACTTAAAAGTTATAAAATCAAAGTGTAAATAAAGAGTAAAAAAAAGAAACCTAATTGTTAATACAATAAAATACAATTTTAGTTTGTTAATAATTTTAAAAACTAGACCTACAACCATTCTCACACTGACACAAACATACTAAGAAAAATTTCTTGAATAAAAATTTTTTTAAAAAATATTATAAAATAGGTACAACAAAATAAATTTTTTTTAGAATAATACAACTTGTTTTAGGCGGTTTATACGATAGTTTGACCATAAGAATTCAATAATATAAAATAATGAAAAACATTTTCTGTAAAATTATTTATTATTATTTTTAAAAATTATAAAATAAAGTGATTAGTTAAAAAACAATTTAAAAAAAGGAATAGTTTATAATTTTCTAAATAAAAAACAATAATAATAATAGTAATAAAAATAATTTAATTTACAAAACTTTGCGTTAGCTTTATTAAGTGACCGAAATCAAAATTGTATTTTGCACTGTAAACAAATCCAGTTTTTTGAAATTTAATTTCCTCAAAAATATTGACATCAATCATTTTAAAAGTAAATTTAAACAAATTTATATATTTTAGAGAAAGACGAAAGAAAATTATTGAAAATATTACTTGATCCAAAAAGAGTTTCTTTCAAAGATGTGAAAAATCAATATTTAATGAATAAAAACAACAATCCATTAATGTTTGTTTAAGGGATCGATAAGCAGATTTATGAAAACCGATATGATAAAACAAACTCACAATAATTACAAAAAAGAGTTTAAATTTTGTATCAAAAGGAATGCACATTAAGATATTTAATGAGTTCATAATTGTAAGACATGATTTCTTTATTTTTTAGTTGAGAGTAAAAGGTTTTTGTAGACTTTTAAAAAAGGCTTAAATTAAACCTACACACCAATCGTCAAAACATGTTTCATTCTAAATTAATATAGCATAAGAGAAAGGTCAAAGCTATAAAAAAAAAAAAAAAATAGTTAAGCAATTTTCACTCAACCGAATTTTTAATATTATTTGATGGAATGTATGAAACAAAGCAAAACGATTTTGCATTTTTGTAACAAACAAGTGTTGATTATTTGATGTATATAGACATTAAATACAATTATATAAATTAACTAGGGTTTTACGCAAGTAAGTAGTGTACATGCATATAAAAAAGTATGAATTTCACGGAAGAAAAATATAGTCACTTTTTAATAATATTTTACAAACAGAAATATTGCACTAACGAAAAACCAAAAAAAAAAAAAAAATTAAATTAATAACTGTCAATTATAAAGATGAAAATTTATGTTGGTGAAATCTGCAAAATATTAGTTTCAAAAGGGTTCTAACGTTAGAGACAACAACCAATAAATGGTAAATTGGGTTCAAAAAAGGAAAATTTTCAACAAAAAAATTAATCGAAATTTACATGATAATACACGAGGTAAATTTAACACGACAGGCTAGTAGAAAATTAACCAAGATCCAATAATAACAAATGAATAGACCGTTACTTCCTAACTACATACACATATTTAAGCATTAAGACTGTACAATTAATACTCCATTTTGTTTATTTGGTGAGAGAGCATTTCCATTTGGTAGATTAAGTGAATTATGGCTATTATTTACCACGTTATTTACACTACTGAACGAACTCGACGGCAACACAGAGAAACAACTTCCACCGGACATAAGTTCCAAAGCACGATACAGCAATAAATAATTTTCCTAAAAATCAAATGTGTTAAGTTTGTAATTTAATCATATTAGCAATGAATACAAAAAAACTTACAATATTTTTCCATATTCCTGGCCTTTGATTGTGGTAAAGTTTAGCGTACAAAGTGACATCGGCTAAGTTTTCGTGCTGTAATTGTTTCCCGAGTGTTGTCAAACAGCAGAAAATCGCAGCTTCCGTTCCTCCGAACCTAAAAACGATTAGAATAGTTACATAAAAATGTTAACACTATCTGGTGCACAAATCATTTCAACTGACTTGTCCACGACAACTATAGGGCCGTTCTGATACTCTAAATGCCACATCTGTACGATTTCTAGTAGTTTGATCAATGAAGATAATTCCCTAATCGAGTATTTGCTATGAATCAACCGAACAGGGAGCATAAAATCGTCTTGTACTGACTGAATCACCAGGTCTCGGGTTTCGTATTCATTGCCGATTTTATCTTCTTGGACACTTTTAACTTTGAAATTGTCACTGTCCAAGGTAGTACTCGAATCAACCGGCCAAAATGTAACGAGTGATTCCTAAAAAATAAAATTCGACTATACAAAAAAGGCCAACACATTTTACCACAATTATTATAACTGAAAGTGATAAAATTAATAAGTATAAATTAAAGGTGAAACTAGATGCTAACAAATCATAGTAATAAATCAGTTTTTAAACAATAAATGTGTTTATAATCATGTTATTAATTTTAATTCTATATTCTTAAACACAATAAATATACAAACCGAGTCTTCTTCGTTCATGTCAGTTAAAATAACCACAGTTTGCGCGTTGTGATCCCATAGCATTTGCCAAAAATCTAAAATTGTATTTTTAAGTGGATGTTGTGTAACAATGAATTCTCCCAACCGTTTAAAGCCTTTGTTTTATCAAAAACATACAATTGAAAATTACTATTTGTGCAAATATAAATTAAAGGTAATGTTAATAAATAGTTTACCAATGATCCATGAAGCGTTAATGTAATCGCTTCCTTCTACACCGGGTTTTGGCGTTAAATGGACACGAGAGTTTTCAACAGGAACAAATTCTTGAGATCTATTTTTCACTCGGTTGAAAACCTTGTTTGCCGATAATAACAAATACTCTTGCGGAACAAAAGACGTGATCATCTGTTTGTAATATAAATAATAACACATAGCTTAAACGAATATTTTCTTACTGAAAAACAAAACACTCTAATTCATACCTTATAATGTTTGTCAAAATCGGACGTAAATGATGCTATCTTACTATCCTTAATATCAGTTTGAAGATAACTGGCGAGAGTTTTCTCGTTAATACTAGCGTGCATACAATTGATTGCTTCCAATAAAGCATCGTGAATGAATATATACTGTTCTTCAGTTTGAACTAGAAAATTTCTTTGTTGTCTGATGTGCTTTAGGAAATCGAATATGTTCACTTCTTTTTCACTTCGGATTTGTTTTAACATTGTATCTAGTACAATATAAGTACCCGTTCTGCCGACGCCAGCACTAACAATGATACAACTATGTTTAGAATAAAAGATGTCATTTGGCATTATATGTTTATGACAAACCTGCAATGGACAACAATGGGTCCGGCCTCAGGAGGATTAGCTCCGGATGATTTATTTATAAAACTCAGAATCGGTAGAGGATGATCGGGTGTACCGTGATCGGGCCAGTTGGTATAATGGTACTGATATATAGTTCTACCAGATAATGCATTTTTTTTCTTTTTACTCTATAAAAATACATATTTGTAAAAAAAATTATTTTAAATAAATTTTTGTTTAAATAACACTCACTCTCATGTGATGTACTTGAAATGTACGAACAGTATACATGGCCATCAGTTCTTCTTTTAACAACTTCACTTGAATGAAACCATAAATTTCAACACTTTCGTTTGGCCAGTATAAATCGCATTTCCTCTAAAAATTAAACAAATAGAAGACCGTTGAAACTTTTACTTCGTTTGTCACCTTTTTTTAGAATTAAAAATATTCCAGGTTAAAAAAAAAGTAACCAAGTTGCGATTAATCATTAAACTGAAATGTACAATTAGCGATTGATTTATGGAATTAATGTAAATATTTTACAAATTGTCATACTTAACATAATTTTAATAAAACAAAATACACTTAAGTGAAATATAATATTTAAGCGAAAATTGCGATTCACACTCAGCACACCAAAGTTTTGCAGCAATGAACCCATTTCAATTAATTTAATAGGTTTTCATAAATCTAAATTTTTGATAAATAGCAAATACTTGATAAGCCTCGACAAGAAAACGTGCTAAATTTTTTTTTTATATGAACATGTCTTTTAGCTGGAGATCTGTCGAATATTTGTGTGGTCTTTATTATGTGATGGAGGATAGGAGAAGAAAGTGAAGGGAGGGGAGGGAAATTGAGGAGAGGAGGAGCGATGGAAGAAGACAGGAATAGACATATTCATAATCCAATATCTTTCCTTCAAAGGAAAGATTGATTATTTGACTTAACAGTTTAATTTTCTAGTAAACTTACAGATAAATTGGTTTTATCATCGACAAAATAAAAGTTGCATAATTACCCGGCCTCGTTCTACTAAATTTGTAATCATAACAATGACATAAACATGTTGTTCCCAAATCATCTGCCAGAAATCAGTAATGGTCGACGGCAATGGTCCCTGCGTTCCAATGTAAGCATTAGCTTTTTCAAAACCATCAATATAATTTGCATTGATGTAATCAGAATGACTGCTTCCCGGCATATTGTTAATAACAAGTTTAACTCTACTGTGGTCATCTAAAATAAAATTAAAATAAAACAATTTGTTACAAGATATCTGCAGTTAACCATTACAATATATTTTTATCAATACAATTTCTACTTACAAGGAACTATGTTAAGATATCGGTTTTTTGATTTATTCTCCGGTAGTTGTGATGCGTCGGTTGAAAAATCACAATTTATCGATTCTTCTTGTATGATTTCATATTCCTTGCTAAAACCGATATCACCATCAGCATGTAAACTGGACACATGCCTTTCAAATGCATCCACAGTGACAACATGAGATTCTTCTTTATGTTTCCACCAGTCGGAGTTCGGCAAAGTCGGTATGGTATGAGATAAGCACGGCGGATCTTCCAGATAATAGTACGCAGCATGAAAGTATACCCTACACACAGTATGGCATCTACTGTACAAAACATGGTTTTATATGTTACATGTAAAATTTCACACGATACTGTGGCAGTCGGGTGATGATGAAAATACATATTTTTGAAAATTAAGTCTAACTTGATCTATTTCTAATGCTTTTATACCTTGAAAGTATAGTATTATATTCTGTGATTAATACAATTATTTTTTTAAATATATACATAAAAAGTAATTTATTAAATATTATTGAAAAAATGTTGTTTAGCAATTATGAAAATACTTCCAATGTTTTACATTTATTTTTAATATTATCGTCATAATCTACGCTTGAATATTTAACAAAATGTTGTTTAATACTATATATCAAACAATTTATATCCTGCCCAAAAGTAGTTTTAATATATTAACAAACTTTTTGATATTTTGGAAAAAATTTAAAAACAATCAAAGGTTGGTTATGAAAAATTGACATTAACAACATTTGTATCCCAAAAAGATACAATGCCAAGCTTCATAAAGTTAAATAATGTTTTAGTCAAATATAAAAGTAAATGTCTTGTACTGACTTCAAAGATGTATAAATTAAATGTGTAGACACTTTCTCAACTGGAAGAAACACCCTCCTCACCGAAAAAAAAAATGTATTCAAGCATCGCCCTCCTCTAGCTAATGTGAACTTATAATGTACGTAAAGTTATATAATTGTATACGTGTACAAATATTGAAAGGGCCCATTTTTTTTATATAAAGTAAAACCTGATTGTGTATCCACACAAAATTCCCCTTATTTTAACCCTAATACAAGCCTGAGTTCTTAAATTAAAAAATTGTGTTTAAGTTTTAAAAATCATTAATAAATTATACAATTTTAATTTGAGAAATTGCACACATCTCCAAAATTATAATTGATAAAATGGGCTCTTTTCCAATATTTGTCCACATGTAAACATTGTCATTGCTATCTAAACTATAAAAAATCCATCTACAATAAAAATATAGACACGTCAAGATGCTGTTCCGAGAAATTATAGTGTCATTGTAGTCGACTGATCACCGTTAAACATTTTATACATGTTATTAAATTTACATTATATTAACTGTTGAATGAAATGGAGATTAATGCTGTCTATACTTAAATTTACAAGAAATCAAACTGAGAAGAAATACAAAAAGTTTCAATAGAAAGTAAAGCAGTGTTCAGAGTACTCGACCGGCTGTTGATGTACATCTTCAGCCTATTTGATTTGTTGTAAATTGAGTTATTGTATTATTTACAAATAAGTTAAGTGTTTTAAGTAATAGTAGATGGTTAATCTATAGAAAACAACACTGTAATGTGTAACTAGCTAAAAAACCACTTACTGCCATAATAATATAGCCGCGATAACAAACAACAAAACAAACACACAACACAGACCAATCAAAATTGATTTTGTGTTTTCGATTGATGCATTATTTTTCCAACTATTGTGGTCACAATTCCTATGTAAAAAGACAGTACGTGATTCCGACGGTTGTCCTTTCATTATTACATCTTTTGTCAAAGAACTATTTGTTGCGCCCATCACTGTTAATTCATACTCATTATCTTCTGTTAAATTTTGTACAACATACTAAAACAAAATATTTCAATAAATTACAAGGAAATCTATATATCTAGTATAATATTTATGAATTTATTCATAATATAATATTTAACCCAAGCTACATTAAGCTATTTTATGATAAAAATTGATTTTAAACTATATAATTACAAGTAATGGTTATATCTTTTAACCGATGTAAAATCAATTAAGTTTAAATAAAAAACTAAAATACTTGGTATTTTTAATAATTAATATTCTTTTAAATACATTTTGATTTTTGTTTTTATCCAAAACATATTTACCAAAATAATTGGATAACTTTTACCCGGTATCTAAAAAAGTATTATAACGCTATAACTCATTAAATACTTTACGATTTTACAACAAATTGAATAAAAATGAGTATTTTCAAAAACATGTTTAGGTAGGTAGTTACTTTTTTATACTTACACTTAAGTTTTGACCGTCTTTATGTATTGGAACATTTATTGTTATGAACACGCTTGCCTTTTTTAAAATAGATATGACATATTCATCAACAGACTTATAAAAATGTTCTGGTTGAGTCCACTGCAAGAAAATTGATGTTCCACTAGTCCCAGGCACACAAGTGGCGTTCATAATAACTGGTGGTCCCGGTCCATCGACATCGGTATATTGACTTATAGTGTCCGATACATCCCCTTCTCTTTTTTTTTCTCCAACAGCTAGAACGTAAATGGTGTACTTGGTGTAGGGTTCTGAAAAACATTAACAACAATAAGTCATAGGGTGATTGTTAGTTATTTTACAATACATATACAAACAAAGCAATGTTTACAGAAACAATGAACAAATTATTATTAGGTATTTAGATTTTCTGAAATAAATACAATTTCAACATAACTCACTGAGATCTATAATTGTGTGCTGGTGTACGTTCTGCAATTTTTTTGTGTATGTGTTGTTGTCGTGTGTATAATACAAACTGTAGCCAGTCACCGTGTCTGCACCATCTTTTGGTGCTTCCCAAGCAATTTGAATTGATCGACTTGTGACGTTAACCACAGTTAAGTTTTGAGGTTTACTCACATGTACAACTGCAAAAAAAAAATCAATAAAATCAAAATAATTTTCTAATAACTAAATCAAAAATCAGCCTTTTAGATCTCTGATAGGAGGAGATAGTACAACCAAAAGGGAAAACTAATGGTATTAATAATGTGGTCTATAACATAACTAATGTGTCAATCCATTTAAACAGAACAGCCTACAGAACAACTTCTGATCCCTATTTTTAACCCTTCAATGCCAATTATTTTTTTTATTTTTAATAATCAATAAAACAACTTTTTTATTTAACTTGTTAATAACATGTAACATATGTGCAACAATAAAATGTCAATAAAATATAATTTTTCTTATTATTAATAAAAAAGATCCATAGAGAAAATAGTAAGCTACACTTGAAAAAAAAAATTGAAATCCATCCGATAGGTACCACAGATAAATTTTTGACATATATTACCTATTAATTGCCTCTTAATAAATAGTGTCTTCCATTCTCCTTAAAATTGTTTTTATAAATGTAAGTAATGAGTAATGTACAGCTAAACAGTATACAGTAAATTCTTAACTATTGTTTTAGCAGTTTTTTTTTGCGTGTTAATAAAATAATAATTATTTGTACCTAATACACACACTAGTAAATTACAATATATTTAATTCTTAAACGGTTTAGACCCAAATTAAAATGAGACAAGATAAATCCAAACGACAAACTGAATACAAAAATGATTCAAAAGTTTATAAATTTGATAGCATGTTAACTACCAAAAAGCTAGGATATTAAGAAAAGATAACTCGAAGTAACAACTTTGTTTTAACATCTACATTAGTATTAAAAAAAAATAACCTTTTTATTTACATTTAAATTATATTTGATTTAGGATAAAAAAAAATATTTATGTTGTCAATTGATACTATTGATTGATACTATGACCATACCTAACATAATATATTATGCGAGCATTAATTAAGTTGTTTCTGACTATAAGACAAATTTCCCAGATATTATTACTATGCATAAAAATATCAATTAAAAAATTCCAATATGCCTTGAAAAATAATTTGTCAACATTACTCATTATATTCGTAAAAGGAATTATTATTTATCTACATAAAACTATGAGACTTTTTTCTTGGAAAAATAGTTAATACAAGAATACCTGAGAGTTGGGAAATTTTTATATAATGTCTTACATATTATAAATGCATAGTCTTAAATGTTGATTGGAAAATTACAAATCTGATATTATCAATGTTCAAATAAAAATAATTAAATATAACGATGATAAGATAACCTATTGTTAATCATATTGGTTGTAAAAGTAATAAATAATTAAATATAATTTAAAATTTAAATACTTGATAACAATATTAAATGCATAGCTGTAGTACTTATAAGAAAGAATGAATAGAAAAAAAAATCAGAAAGAAAAAAAATTAGAAATAGAAAAAAAAAATTAGCTGTCAAAACTTAAAAAAAAGTTATACATATAATTGCAAAGATATAAGATTAACTCTTGTAAACAAACTTATAAATACTTATAAGTACTTATAAATAAAGATAATTTAAAATTGTTTGAGAAAATAATAAATATCAGCGACAAAGGAAAGTATTAATTCTATGAATCTACGTTGTTCGTATACATGTCTATATTATGCATATTTATGTGTCATTAACTTTAGGGGTAACATTAGAGCGATAGGTATTATTGAGCTAGGACATTTATCTTCCGACGACCATTATGATTATGCTTAACGACCGCTACCAGTTCGGTCGGACAAATTGTACAATCTTTTTGGTCATACGGAGTATTCGACAACTGGGAGTGGCATAGTGTACTTCAATAGACTTACCGGGTTGCTCGGAGCTGGTGGTCGGCACTGCGTTTGCGACGGCGTACGCCGGACCAGCGGTTAATGACGAGAACAGTGTGAAACCCAAACACCATGTTGCCATCCACATTTCCCAGACTAGGTGGTGGTGAGGAATCCAATTCGTGGGGGTGGTTTTGTTGCTTATCAATAGCTGCTGTTTACAACTGGCGGACGTCGCCGCCCGCGAGCTTTGAGCTACTGATCTTGATCGGACAACTGCGGCTGGCGGTCGGTGGTCGTGCCAAATGCGCGATCGTCATTGCTGGCGCACCGAAGCCCGCGAGGACGTCCAACCTCCGGCGTTTCCCGTACGACTGAATTATGATCGTTTTGGTGTTGTTTTTACTATACCGACTACTACGACTGCAGTTGCTGCTGTTACTCTACAGTTACTACTACTACTACGGCTGCGGCTGCGGCTGCTCTCGTTACTACCGGCCAAACGGATAATAAAACGGCGGCGGCGTTTATTGCGGCGGAGCGAACGCGAACCGCATAATCTTATGGTAATATTATTGTAAGCGATTCGTTTGTCGGGCAACGGGTGACGGCCGACGGGTTGACGGGATGGGAGAGGAGCCGCCGTTCTCGCCGTGCGTTTACGATAGCTTATCAGTTTATCAAACGCCGCCGACAACGACAATGTACCGAACGCTGCGGCCCGACGCTGCCGTTGTCTTCCGACGCAGATGCCCCTATGCCCGCCTACCGGCCATCACCCCCCCCCCCTCCACGAGGTTACACCTCACAGAACCACCGACACACAGCCACCGAAAACCGACACAGAGCCACTCGACAAACAGTCACCCAAGGGGCACCAACATTTAAAATATTTATACAAAATGCACGATTATTAATGGTGTTTGTTGTGTGGCCAGCACCATACATTATTAAGGAGTACACATGTTATTAATGATCTATCTCATTTAACCATATTGATTTTTAAACAATAATGATGATTGTAGAAATGAATAATGTTAATATAATGTAAAGTAATTCAAAATTATAACCACAAAATTATTTATTATAATTGTATATATTCAATAATAAAATAGGTATAGATATATATTATAGGATACAAAATTGATGGAATTGTTCGGGTAATGATAAATCTATGTACCATAAAATAATGAATACCTATACTCAAAGCTCAATATATGGTGCAAAATAAATGTGCTAATTAATTACAGTAGTATACAATTTTTTTTTATGCACAGCTGACATGATATTGGTTAAAAATGATGTGTTTTGTTTGGTCAATAGTATGTTTCCCAATCAGACCCTTGTATGAGAAAAACAAAGAAAGCAATTTTAATCTCAATCTTATAATAACATTAATAATAATAGTCATTTATCAATAACTACAAAAATATATTTAAAAAGTATATTAACAAATAAAATTAACTGTTTATGACTTTCATATCTCTAACCATTATTTAAATGATAAATAAGTGGAGTTATAAAAAGGCTCCTGCATTATAGCACAAAATTATAATTATGCTATTCAAGTTGTATAGAAATTAATTAATTAATTTGCAAATTATGAAATCACATTTAATACAAAAACATTTCGTTACATTACATATTCATTATTCACAATTAACATTTTGACAATATTGGTCTAAAAAACTGTTTAGTTAAACTATTCAATTAAAATAGACGAAAAAACATATTATACAAAAAAAAAAAATATTGTAAATTGTTTTAAATTAAAATTGTAAAAAATAAAATATTTTTATGCAACTTGTATATTGTGTATTTTTATTTTAAAAATATAATAAACAATTTCAATAAAAAAAATTAGGGTGCTTAAGAGGACGTCGCACCGCCTATTTTTAAGGAGTAAAGTATAGGCAATTTTTCACAAAATCTTAATTTAAAGGTTAAACTGTGATGTGTAATTATTAGTTCAATAACTAGGACTCTATTTTGGAAGTTAATTTATTTTTCAGACTATCACAGCATCCTTGAAAGCGATTTAAAAATGTTTTTTCATCTCTACATGTTTAAGCAGACTGAAAATAACTCGCTTAATTTTGGTTTTAGAGTAAAAACGCCTATTATAAAATTAAAAGAAAACAATAATCCGGAGGGCAAGACGGTGCGTTTTTTTCATTATTCCAAGTGTAACGCTCAATACATAGTTTAGAAATAACGACTATTTTAACATTTTTAAATGACTGCAACTTTTCAAAAAATTATTTTTTTTTTTAAAAACGCACCGTCTTGCCCTCCGGAATATTGTTTTTTTTTAATTTTATAATGGGTGCTTTTACTCTAAAACCAAAATTAAGCGAGTTATTTTCAGTCTGCTTAAACATGTTTTTACCACTGAAAATTACCGGTGCGACGCCCTTTTAAGCGTTGCATGTGTTTATTTAAATTATGAAGTTAATTTTTTTTTTTAGCAAGGATATTGCTTATCAATTTAACACTTTAGTTTATTAGCATTTTTTTTTAGAACAAAAAATAATTTAAATGTATGGAATATCACAATTTACAGGTATTTCATACAAGAGTTATACGCTTTGCTTGTTCTGCAAATGTGTCAATAACTTTGTTTATGTTAATTAAATGTGTCATATCTTTTTCTATTTATAATATTGGCAAATCTGTAAGTCTGTCCTGTCTCGTTGAAACCCTAAGCCAAATCTTTATAGTTCTTAAAACAGAAATGAGCGTTCTCAAGAGTGATAGTCACATGAAATTGATAATACTGTATAATAAGTACTGTTATCAACTCTGCAAAAAGCTATGTATCTTCAATGCAATTGAAAACAATGCAAACAAAATTTAAGAATCCTATACTGACAGCATGTCTGGCAACATACTTAGCCAAGTTATAGGTATAGGGCATTTTTTTATTTGATTTATAATTTAATAAATACTATAAGCGCGTACTGGATGACATGTTTGCCACATCCCTAACCAAGTACTGCCCGCTCTCTTTAAGGTTTGAATATTGTGATAATAAACAAAATATTAGGATTCCAGTAAATGCTTATGTACAATTCGATAAGATATTTATATTAGCTCAATCGGCAAAAGTGGATCAGAGGTTTCCACCACAAAGAAAACGAATTCCATCTGACCTTCAGCCGCTGGTATTGTTTTGTGAGTATCGACACATTTGACAAGAAAATATTTGTATGGAAAAAGTTTGAAAAAAAAGAAAAAAATATATTTAAAGATTACATTTTATTAGAACCGATTTAACTCTGCTATAAACAGTCAATAATTTTCAGCTAATTATTCTTAATCAAATGGCTATCTTAAATTTTTTTTTAAAATTGTAACAAAAAAAATAGAAAAATGATTTAAAAAAGTTAAATAGTTGTGTGCAAAAAAAAAACGTGATGCTTATAGCCCAAATGAGTATAAATTAATTAAAAAAAAAAAATCTTAAAAATATCAACTAGAACAAAAATTATTTCATTTGTCCAATCATTGTGGAACATTTACATTTAGTCATACATAATTATTTAATACAATTGTATAGGAAAAATACAAATTTTAAGTGATACATAAATTATATCAATACGTATGATTTTCAGTAAATACTGTAACAAATATTTTCAACGGGAAATCGGTATTTCTATCGCTAATATTAATAATAAATATAATAATATAGTTGTATTGATAATTTATTATTACTCACATCGACATCATTGCTGTAAAAAAAAACGAATAAGTTAAAAGTTCACAGTTTACACCGCAGTTGCGAAAATACAAATGAAATAAAAGAATTCGTTCCTTTAGAAATAATAAGAAACGTTTTATACAAGAACCGTTGCCATAGAGCTATTTAAATCGAACTGATGCAACGCGACGTTGACGTGGCCAAGCAACCGAAAACCATCGGTTAACTTTTTTATAAAATAAAATATTTAGAATTCCAAATTTTAAATCTAGTTTTGGCGGAAAGCGATCATAGCATTAAGCACTCGATAAATGAACGTAAGTAAAAATGGTTAGAGGTAAAATAATAGATATATAGAGCACTGACGCAACCAGTGGTGTTTTGACCCCTTCCAAAATATATTTGAAAATTACAACTAGGGAGCGTTACAGATTTACTAAGTATAATATATATATACTTAAATATACTCATTATACTCATACTAAGTATACTCAAGTCTATACTCATTGTTTTAAACTATATATAACCCCGCACCCAAAAATAAATCCCAATTGCGCCACAGATACAGGGTGTCCTACAATGATCTGACAAATGAAATAACTTTTGTTTTAGTGAGTATTATCATGGAGTATATATTGTATAATATATACTCAATGGTATTATTAAGATTTTTTTTTTTTAATTATTCATACACGTTGGCACTATAAATTCAATTTGCTTACTACATTAAATAAATTTGTGCAATCTTTTTAGAGTTATCTTTTTATTCAGATGTTTATAACTAAATTTTGTAATATATTTATTATTTTTTATAAGTATAAGATGAATTATAGTATTTTTTTATTTCTAACTAACATTACATTAATTTACAAAATAATTTTTTGATTTGTAATTATTATTTCATGTATACCGCAAATACTAATGTATTAAACTAATTTTTTTTCGATAGTTAATTTTTTCCACTTGTTGCCATATTTTTCCGAATCTCGGTATAAAATTGTTTTCTTCTTTACAATATAATTATATAAATTTCAATTTTTTTAATACACTTTTTAAAAAAAAAACATAAAATGTATTTTAATTATTTATTCACAAAAACTAATCAAATTAAATTACCTCGAGATTCAATACGTTTAGTTTTTATAATGAAGACTACATAATTGATAATTTATATTATCATATTATGTAGTCTTCTTGGTTAAAACTACACAATTTGTTTGTTTTTGCCTAGAACCCTGAACCATGAATTTGGCAATTTTTGTAATAACAAGTTGAAATGAACCGAGAGTGTTTTCGCTCAACTGTTAGTGTAAAGTGTTATATTTAATCTATGTTAATAATTTAATTTATTTGGTGATGAAGTTTAAATACGAATTAGGGCATTGGAATGCAGGTAACTTAACTTCAATACAAGTGTAGCCGCAATCCTCCTGCGGACATGGAGTTTAATAGATTTGAGTATTTTGCAGGAACACGTATTAAAACTGGAGTTTAGGATAGATGTGAAAGTATACACAAATCTGGTTTGTGTAACCTCATAATGTATATCAGGTACCTACACACAATTGTAACGAAAATAACATAATATGTTTGCCGCTGCTAATACTATAGAGTATACAGTTAAATTTTAATTTTATTAGGTACAACATACCCACATAGCATTTTAAAAATATTAATATTTTCAAAATGTTTGAATTAAGTTTTATTGCAAATATTGTTTTAAAAATATTGTTAAATTGTCTTGAAAATATTTAGTCTCCAAATATTTAGACCCAAATATAATGAAAACATTTCCACAAAGTTGTATACCAAATATTATAAATCAGTTTTTCACTTAATATTTTTAAAATATTTAGTCTCCAAATATTTAGACCCAAATATAATGAAAACATTTCCACAAAATTGTATACCAAATATTATAAATCAGTTTTTTACTTAAGATTTTGAAAATATTTATTTTTAAAATATATAAACTCGCATCGTAGAATTCTGGATATAAAAGCCAATGACACTTTTTGGTCAAATAGAGTTAAAAAGGACTATGTATAAAATTTAATAGGTACTTATTTTCTAGTGTTAAAAGGGCGTAACTCTTGTACCAATGGTTGCTGATATACAAGGGCTAATAATATTGCAAACATAATTATTAATTAGATATCTAATTCTAAAACAGTGATAAGGAGTGACGGATTTTCTTCAAGTTGCAATTACATGTATTATTAATCAATACCTTACCAAGACCCTTATTCGAGCGTTTGTGCGATGGTTTCTAGTTCCACAGAGATAATTGACTTTGATATTTATTCTATATCTTAAATAGACCTATTTTACAAACGTCAGCAAGAACTGTGCAGTGCCCGGAAGTGAATGGTGTCGGGTTTAAATCCGTTCCCACTCCCAACCTTTTTTGCATTTTTTTACAACTTTTTTTCAACTTTTATGTAGTTAAAACACTTAGTTTTTGATAGCGACCGTAAAATAGGTCAACTTACGATATAGAATAAATATCAAAGTCAATTATCTCTGGAACTAGAACTCATGGCACAACCGCTCGAATACGGGTCTTTTAATTATTGATAAATAATACATGTAATCGCAATTTGAAGGAAATCCGTCACTCTTTCACTGTGACCTCCCATTAATATTATAGTTTTCTAATAACTCTATTTTTCTAAAATACTAAATGCTTGTGGCCATTTATATATAAGCCTTATTGAGTTTATAAAGCTATGCCTGATATCATTGCGAGTTATTAGTTTATATTTTACATTCTTATACATAGGTAGTATGTTATTTTATACTTTATTGTGTAAGTATGATTTATATATATATTAAATGTATAAAATATTATGCCGCATGATATTTTATACGGGGTGATTTTTTTGTCATGGGCCACTCTATATTATATGTAATTTAAAGCGACGTAATGTGCAACGATATTTATAATTACTATGAACATAGGAATACAAGTATTATGTAGACTATATGAAGCAATTTACAATGGATAGTCGTGATGGTTGATCAGTTGATGATGTATTTAATTTGAAATAAACGATCGATTATTTTTTAATAAAATTATTTTAAGCAAAAAAGCATTATTACAGTGTTATATACATCATTATTACATAATATTTAAATATATAATATAGATCCGCATAAGCAAAATATATTATCATCTGTATTTTTACCCAATAGAACTTAGTATAATTGCAAATCAATGTACATCTTTGTTTTATTTTTTACTCCGAAAAAATCTTAAGTAAAATATATATTAAAATTGCGTGTTTGCACGATTTTTTGTAATTAAATTAAGTATTTAGTAAATTAATGAATGCAATATTAACATAATATGTCAAATAATAGTACAAAACGCTTCGTGCTCCTCATTTATATGTTTTCACCAAAATATATATATTATATATATGAGATATAAATATTTAACTTAATTTATAAACTTATTTTTCATTATAATTTATTTTCTTTTAACAGTATACGATTTAATAAATTAGGTATAATTATGCAATTATATAACTTATAAATTTTATGATTTAAGTATATATATTTAAGGTAAATATGCATTGAATTATATAAAAAAAAAAAAATGGTGAAATTTTTAAAATAATGCCTGTGTATTGTGTACATAATTATATATAGATCATGATATTTTATAGGTCAGAATTTTATCTCGTTTCTCCGGTAACTCGTTGGCTGAAACCATACGAAAAATGATGCAAAAAATGTTTAGTGACACATTTCTAATAAAGTACTCATTTATAGGGTTTAAAGGGAAAAATCAATTTTCTACCTTACAATGTTGCAGTATTATTTTTGGTAAGTTAAAACCAATAGTATATAGTTTTCTTGCATTCTTTTACATTGCTATAATGACTATTGCCACATTGACCAAGTTGTGAATATTGGACGCACTACAGCTGTAGGTAGAAAGTGTTAAAATATATTAAAAATACACTGTATTTATGTATTTACGTATAAATATATAGTACATTACCTATATATTAGTTTATTATTATATTTACATCGACATACCAATGTATGCTATAATATGTTATACCTGTTTTATATATTTCTAATTTTATTAATTAATTTTCGTGACTATTGCTTATATTAAGTATTAAAACTTATCAAAAAAAAAAAATGAAAAATTTAATAGGTACCTATATATATTTACATATATAAAAATAGGATTTATCTGTTTATATAAACAGATAAATGTATGTACAAATTTTCTGTGTAAGAACAACAATATCATTACTATAATTAGTTATGAACTTAATATTTTATTTCAGAAGCAGTTCGTTCAATTAAGAAATATACTGAAGTTCCTAACATTAAAATAAAAAAACCATTGAAAAATTGGATGGCACAAGCTGCCCAAAGAGAAAAATTGAAAACACAAAAAACACAAAATAACTAAAAGCTGTACATTTTGATTATTATAAAAATTTTATAGTAATTATACTATAATAAAATTATACTTTATAAAACTTGAAATCCTACTCATTTCTTCTTTATTTTAAATTTTATCAAAATATTACAAATGATCACTAAGTACCATATAATAAATAGCACATTCTAATATAGTTTAGTATTAAGGTTATAATATTGCAAGTTAGATAATATGTTTGTTTTCAAAGATTTTAAAAATATATTGAATTTAATAATATTAGAATTATTTGGTTATAAACATTTTAATAATATCTAAATTGAATCATTTAAGAAATATTTAGATTTAAATATTTTGAAAATTTAAAATAAAAATATTGTACAAATATAATACTACAATATTGTGAAAACCTTTTTTCACCTGCCAAAAAATGTTTTCTAAATGTTTTCAAAATATTTTAAAACATTGTGATAACCTAAATAAAATATTTAAATATTTTATCAATATTTTGAAAATATTATTTTGCTATGTGGGTACTTTGTAAAATTATTTTATTATTATATGATTTATGAACAATAATAAATAAATTATTCAAACTTACAGATTATAGGTTAATTATTGTTCTAGTAATAGCGGTACCTACTTCAACAAGCATGAACAACGATTTCTGATGGTATAATTGTCAAACCCTACATTAATCGACCAAATATTTTATTTGCCTACCTATGATGTTCCGCCTATGGAATATTGGTTAATACATATGCACTGTACGATACAGTAATAATATTGTATAATTTTAAGTAGGTGCAAATGTGTTGGTTATACCTCGTGTGTTTTAACAATAGACATAATCTATATTGTTCTTAATGAATTTTGATAACACCATCGATAATAATACTCAATACTTAAAACGAGTACAAATAATGACGTCTATTATTTTTAAAATCAGAAAATTAAGATAGTATTTTTTTTATTTAAACAAATTTATATTGATTTGTCTCTTGCCTTTATCTGTGACAAATATTTTATTATCCACATTCATATCACCCATGAAAGATACCTTCTATCAGTCACGTATTAAAGTACAATAGGCATTATAATTGTAATGGGCTAAACCTCCTCTTATCAATTTTTTAAAATGCATTATCATCTATATTTCTTAAATAATACTTACGGCTCTAAGGGCCTTTCCCTTCTGCTCTTTACTTAAAGCATAATAATCAGTAATCATTATCAGTAGTAATAGTTAGGTAGTTCAAACCATAAAGGTTCTACTAGACTAATTAGAAAAAATATGATTTTATTCGTTGTTATAGGTATTAACTAAATCGCAAAATTCAACAACAAGAGTTAATCCTAATAACTATGTCAAGCTACTGTAAACTAAAAATAAAAACGTATAATTAGTTTATTGAAAAAACTTATTTTAACCAATTATAATCGTCCTGTTACATAAATACACACCTAACAAAATTCATTACTTGGAAATAAAATATAAATTAAATGTAAAATGAGTAGATAATGACCGTTTAAATCATTTTAAATATAGTAATGAACTACAAAAATTAATAATTTTTTAGTTTTATTTAAGAATAATAATATATATGATGGTCGCATAATTTATAATATTGCCATAAGAAAAATCAATAAACGGACTAAGAGAGTGGGGAGGGGCAATCGCTCCTCTCCTTCATAACCGCCTCTGATAAAAGCTCTCATGGCTCACAGCGGGTAAATAAGTTGGTATTAATAAAGTAGGTAACTCTGACCCACATTTTGAACTTTGAAGGGATGCGGATCAATATCGCTCTTATCTCTTTTCTTCTAAGGCGATTCTGCGCAAACTAGAGTTTGCAGAGTACCTGCGTTTGCTCAACATTATTTGATGCTGAGTTGCAGAGGATAGCGTTAAAAAATGTGTTTTTAGTTTCTTTCAACATAGCACGTCTCATTTTGTCATTTATCTACTTACATATCAAATTAATTGTTGTATGTAAGTCACGAGTCAAGCTTGAACTATTATAAAATGACAACGAATTTACTGTTTTTTTTCCTCCTACAGACCCGACAGGACTACCACGCCCAAGTTGTTAAAGAGAACATTATAATTCTAGAAAACAATGGAATTTCCGGATTTAGGGCAACACTGCTCGAAGAAGTCTTGTAATCGTTTAGGTAAGTCAGTTTTAAGTATAAGTACTTGGTAGTGTTTTCAACGATTTAGGTTTTCAAATTTCAGCTTTTCCTTTGATGTATTACGTATATTGTGTTTAAAAAAAATAATAATATTATGTCGCTGTTTATATTAGTCACAGCCAAGCTGACAATTCACGTTCACATTCAATGCAAACTTTTGAGACGTAAATAATTTTTGTGTGTGCATAGTCTATATTTTGTTGTTTTTTAGTTTGAATTATAAATTATAAGTATGGGGTTGAGATGGGTGCTAATATTTTATTAACAATAGAACAATAGTTAATATATTATCACTTGTTTTAAAATGTTAAGATTGACATATTTTTCTAAAAACTACCATTTATATAATGTCTTATCAAATTTGCCAACTCGTACTTTTTTTGGTATCACTTGACACTTTTTCCATCATGACTTAAAATATTCTGTCAAAAAACCTGTTATAACCGATTATAATAATTATATCAATTATTTTAGAAATCAATTGAATTCTATTTATTATATTATAAGTTATAATAAAGGAGTTAAAACCAATAAATTATTTATATGCTTAAATGCTTGTATTTTTGTCCAGATTTCCTACCCGTAAAATGTGATGCGTGCAAAAATATTTTTTGGTAACTATTATTATTGAAATAGCTCACCAAGAAAATATTTTTATTTTTAAATTATTACATTCATTTCCAAAATTATATTGTTTAGTTGTGAACATATGAACTACAGTAGCCATCAATGTGAGCCAGGTCTCAAGAAAAATATTCAAATGCCTGTATGTCCCTTATGTAAAAAGCCAGTACCAACACCCCGAGGACAGAAACCTGATTGCACAGTAGGCGAACATATCGACAACGATTGTCGTGTGGCTGAGAGTAAAAAGGTACTTTGACCTAAAAATTCAAATTTGAGACATATTTTAATTTTATGTAATTATCTTATAGATATTTACCAACCATTGTACAGTTGCAACGTGTAGTGGCAAGGAAGCAGTGCCTGTGCTATGCAGCGAATGCCGCCAAAATTATTGTTTTAAACATCGTCACCCTTCAGATCACAGTTGTAGTGGGGACGCTGAAATGGCTAAAAAAATAGCAGAATCGAATAATCCTTTTGGTATTATTGTAAAAAAGACATTCACAGTAACTTCAATACAGGGAGCTATGGTAAAAGTTAATTATTTAAATATAACTCTCTTAATTGTTTAAATTGTACAATTATATTGTATGGTGTTTTTCAGAGTGAAGACGAAGCGTTAGCTAAAGCACTTGCTGAATCTAAACGTTTGACTCGAAGAAATCTTACTAACCCTGCACAAAGATGTTGTGTTTCATAATTATAAACTATGATGTTAATCATATTTAAAATTAAATAGTGATAATATTTAGAGTTAAGCTCATTATAAATTTATAATATAACTTGTTATTGAATTTTTAAATAATTAAATGTACATTCCAATCAGTCTTATCATATTTGTATAATTTAAATAAATTCATAATTGTTTTGTAAGAAAACATTTCTAAAATAATGAGAACAATTAAAACAATGAATTTTAAAACTAAAATAAATTGATTTATCATTTAACACAATACGGAGTGATCAACTTATCGTGAACCACTCAAATGGGTTTAATAAGAAATTATTTTTTTCTTTACATAGTGTTTTTGTACAATGTGATCACAGTTTTTTTTGTTTTTACCCCCTCCTAACTTAGTTTTTTTGATAGCAACTTTCGAAACTTAAATGATAACGCAAACATTTCATTAACTTTTTACCAGTTTTGGATAACTATTTTTGAAGTTACTGAAGTTTCATGTTTAGGGCAGGAAGAAAAGTGGAGTGTAGTATTATTTTTATCTGTGCGCATTTCCCAACCGTACTTACCATCCCATCCTAACTTTTAAACTCTTATAACATTAAAAATAGTTAGCCAAAACTGGTTATCGACCAGTCAACATTTTTTGTACACTATTCTCAATTTAAAAAGTAAATGAAATGTATGCGTTAACATTTAAGTTTCAAAAGTTACTATCAAAAAATCTAAGTTGGGAGGGGATAAAAACACGAACAAAATTGTGAGAAATTGAGACCAAATTGTATTAAAACATTATGGAAAAAAAATGTAATTATTAATTAAACCCAGTGAGATATTCAGTGGTTCATGATAAGTTGACCACCTTGTTTAATTTCCCCCATAAAAAAAATTAAATATTACTCTTTGGTTATTTGTTTTATGTCAATTTTTTTACCCAAATATTTACTATGGCTAACATAATATTACTTATAGAAAGTCATTTTTATTTAATTTTATCAGTTACAATACTAATATTTTTACTCAAATAATTACAATGATAATACTTCTAAATTTTGATTATTCATTTAAAACATTGGTACTTTTGGGTGAATAGGATTATTTACTGTCACTATGCAACATGTTGTCTAGTGTTGCAAATTATTTGTCATTTGAATACAGAATATTTTAATACTTGTCAGTATTAAATACTTTTATTATCAAATATTTTAAACAACATTTTTTGGTACTAAATTGTAATAAATATTAAAAATATATAATTTACTCTGGTCTTAAAAATTACTTATATGAAGAAACTATATTTTTATAGACATCACACGTTTGAACAGATCAGGAGTTCGAAACTTATGTCAGTGTCACCAGTATAAGAGAAATATGAAACCACGGACCACTGTTTAGTGATACTGATATTGGTTATTTTTCCAAGTTAATTAAATATCAATAATATTTGTGTTTTGCTTTAATTTTTTTTTTAAACTGTATTACTCAATTGTAAAAACAACTGCATCTAAAAGAAATATTTTTGGCATTATCTCTTCACTAAACTACTTTGCTGACCCCTACAACTTTTAAACTGTAACGGTCGCCAGTCGACAAGATGAACCAGACGAGCCATAAAAGAATTAATAGAACAAAGAAGTGTTTTTTTATGCGTCAACTATATATATTTTTATGGACAAATGACTGTCTTTCTCTCTTCTCTATTCCTATCCATTGTGTTATTAGCTTAGGAGTGGCCTATCAATTTTTATTATTATGTATTTATGGGTACAAGCATACGCCTCTTGCTTGCATCCTTTGTTGTTCGTAGTACGCAGTGGCACAGATTTTATCAAAGTTGTAGTACACTGTACAATAACGAAACCAAAAGTTTAATACTAAAATCTATAGTTTAACCGTCCTCAATAGTTCAAAAATACAATTGAAACATGTGTGTAAGTTGTGAAATCTGTCTGCGGAAGAATGTTGGGAAAACCAATGTTGAACTAGATCAAGAACTCGGAACAACTTGGAACTTCGACAATAATTGTAATACATTAGTTATGCACGTGCCAGGTAAAACTAGATTCATACCTGTCAATAATATTATAGTCAATATTATAATTCATTTTTGCCAAAAATTTACACTAGCTTTATTTTTAAATAAAGTTTTAGTAACAAATCTTTTTCGATTTGGACGTAACAGATATTGTAAATAATTCATATTGGTTCTTACATCGGGCCAGTTCTAATATTTTTCATTCTTATTTTTTAATTCAAATTGATATTTGTTGTTTAAAAAAGGCAATTTTGATTTATTATTTAAAACGGATATAAAATTCCCAACAAAAAGTCAGCCCTATATGAAACACAATATATTTATGTTGCATTGTGCAGGAAACACAATAGGTAGTAAACATAATCTTAATACATAATTTTCTGTTACAGGCCTAGAACAAGATAATGCTCATTGTCAGTTAACTCGTAAATGTAATACGCAGGACCATGAATCTTCTTTGATGTCTAAGCGTACAAGACTTGTCGGGCCAAATAGTCATTCAAATATAATCGATGGAGCTACAGAATTGATTGATCAATCAATATCAATCAGACGTACTATATACAATACTTTTTTTCAATCTTAAAAGAATAAATTCCCACTTTAAATATTTTACAAAGCACTCTATTATAAACAAATATCATTTTAACATTTGTGTTACTGTTGAGTATAGACTGATGATAATTATTCTTTAAAGTGTAGAATAAAAATATTATATTTTATAATTAGAACTTCTTAATGGATTTAATGAGTTAGAAAAAATAAACTTATTAAATTAATCAAGATGATTAATTTTTTATAAAAATAAATATAAGTGTTGTAGATTGTATGTTTTTTTTTAAAGATACACCAACATTTTTTATTGATATCATTAACTTCATATTTTATATACAGAGTTGACAGTATTACACTGTTTGATGATGAATTTTGAGGTTTTAGTTTAGTAGTCGACGGGATTAGAAACCCTTATTTTCTGTGTCCGTCATATTCACACGTTCAATCAATGTATCGATTGATTGAACGTGAATTAGGAATCTAGAGATAGATTTGAATTCTACAAAATCTCTTCTGGAGAATGATAAGTTTATGACCTTAGCCTAAATCGGTAAGTTTCCATAACAATTGTAAAGCTCAATCATGTAACTAAATATAATAGACGTCAAAAAGATATTTATTTATAGTGGTTGTTTACATTTTACCTCACAATATATTACTACGATAGTATTTTACTTTTTCGCTTTTTTATTAATGTAACTTTCATGGCCTCGCAAGTACTTGGCAGGTATTTTATATTGATCTGAAAAAATATTTTAAAAAATAATTAAAATTTAGATGGCGTAATGAAAAAAAAAAACACATTAACCTTGATATGTTAGATAACAAGACCCTGTTTGTGGTTGTGTGTACATGTAGCTAATGTTCCCCATTAATAACAGGAGAGTTTGGTTGTGAGTATGAGTGTTTATTTAAAAGTATATAATTCCATGGAATAGTTTACAACATTTTTCCAGCCAGCCGAGGATATATAAGCAGCTTCTGTACGTTGAAAAAAAATCTGTGACTTGGCAAATAGGACGAAAGTAAATTGGTACCGATATATTAAGAAAATAACCAAGTAAAGCGAGTCTACCTCAGCTAGTAATCAGGCTTATTATTTTTAATCACACGATTCATCAGTCCTTTCAAGTTAAATAGACCAATTTTACTTGGATTATTAAATACAAGTTTTTATTATTTTAAAGCAAAATACGATAGCTCATGTGCTACATAATATAAAACTATACTTAAAAATAATAATAATGATTCAAAAATAATTTCAACTTGCCTGTCAGTAATTTGAAAACAAACGGAACTTGACAACCTTGTATTTGAACTTGTCTATTTTGTGCATTCGGAACATCATTAATTGTTGTACTAGCTGCGACTCCATGCTGACATTCTTTACTAAACTTGGTAAGATCAACGCCGTACATTTCTAAGTTATTTACTAATGTGACCTACAACAAAATATTTATTTAATAAAAACCACATACATTGTAAAAATAGTAATTATATATTATTATAACTCAATTTTTACTTGCACAGTTTCAGTTTTTTGTACATACTTTCTTATTGCCACTTCGATTATTGACAGCTATATCGATTGTGTTAATTTTCTTTTTCAATGCTTTTTTCGAGTCTGTATTCAAACACGATATTTCTGTTCGATGCATTAGTTTGATAATTTCGTCAATCAAGTCCTTGAACGATATTAGTAATTTATCTTTTCTTTGAGATAATATTTTTTGTAACACTTCGTTTGTCTTGATTTTACTAAACAAATCAATCAAAACTAAAAAATAAATTCTAAACATAATGTTTAATAGTAAGATTTGAAATTTTTACCATAAAAGAAAATTGTGCTTTTTATAATTTTGAAATAAACTTAAGGTTTTATTTTAGTTCGAACTTTGGTTTTCACTCTTAGATTGGTTGGAATTCAAAAAATGTTTTAATAAGTTCAGCTCAAACTCAAAAATCGGCCTTTGTTATATTATTATTAATTTAAAAAAATTATACTAACGATGGATCGGTAGCATCTTGCAGACTATGCTTTTTGACATACTCAGTAACATATCTACGAACAGAAGGAACTGATAGTTCATCTCCTTTCCTGAAAAAACAATAAGAATTATTTTTAAAAATGAAAAAAAAATATTCGATAAAATTAATGTAATTACCGGCAAAGAAATTCTGAAAAGAGAGGATGCAATCCTGGTGTTACAACGTAGGTCTCTTTGACTGGAGGCGAATAGGCATTGGGATTTTCACTAGTCTGTGAATCAATTTCTTCAAGCTTGGAATTGCTATAATTAATGTGGGTTATTTCGGCAATTCCGTCTTTTCCCACGGTAAATTTTATAATGCGTTGCTCGTCCAGCGATTGAAGAAAAGTAGACAGTTTTTTATACGAGGTTTTTTTAATATCTAACTCAAATTCTTCAGGGCTAAGTGGAATAACAAATTTTTTATAAAATGTACTGGCTAAAAGTGGCAACATCTCTTTAGTCACTGAATTTTTTAATGCATTTAATGAACACGCAATTATTGTTTCGTCCATTTTTTCTGTCGACGGTTGTTTTTGATCATTTGATGAAACATCATTTAGGCTAAAAGTGTTTTTAAATTCTTCTTCCATCGCATTAACAGTTTTGGGAATTATTTTCTTCACATATGATTGAAAAAGTACATCTTCATAATGGTGTAGGACGTTTATATAAGTATTGTCCAGGTCTTCGATTTGACTTACTTCTGTCATTGTGCAACCAACGGCAATAACTTTTTTTTGTTGACTAGAATAAATGCTTATGCACTGCTCGACAGGCAAAGAACGCAACATTTGCTCATTAGAAATTATACTATTATAATTGAGTTCGGGAGAAACTGCAAAATTGATAGTTGTGTTTTCGTTTAACTTTACTCGAGGAACAATATTAGGAAAATTCCAAACCATAAATAACGATGGATACAACTTCCCCTTAAGTTCAAACAGGATTGCAACGTCTTGAACGCAATACAATTTCATTATGACATTGTTGTGCGTAATTATTTTCATTTGAGTTAACTGCTTGCTTAAAAAATCCTCTAGAAGATTTTCGGTTACGTTGAACGACTTCAAAATTTGAGATTTTAACTTCTTTCTGAAATAATAATAAAACATAAAGTTTATAACGTGTTTTCATACTGTAGGGAATCAGATACTCACTGTTCTGCGCCTTTTAGGGCAGCGCTGGACTTTATCCGGAATTCTTTTTGAAACATTTTTAAATGTAGTTAATATATCGCGGAATCTAAATGATTAGAAAATACACGTCGGGCTGTATCGAGACAATTTTTTTAAAAACACTATATTATACTACTTAAATCTTATTTCTTAATTAACTTACTATATACTATATAATACGAAAATACATACTAACAAAACTGTTGTATTCAGCACGGTAAATTACGAATTTCTAAGCAGACATCAATGAGTTTATCACGAAGAATAAACGAATACAATATTAATAATTTTAATTTTTAAACAACAAAGTAATCGGTATTGCCAAAAAAAACTAGCAATTATTATTAATTAGCCTATTGTTAACAGTTATTCATTAATGATAACAACTGTTGATAATGAAGCTAGCGATAGATAACAGAAGATACCGAAACCGCAGAAAATACAAAATTTATAATATAGTGATTGAATTGTTCTATAAACCATTGTTTTCGAAGAATTAACTCTAATGTGAGTTTTGGCATTTGGAGTTAGTATTAAAAAATAGTATCTCTATCTCCACTACTAATAATGTTACTGTGTATTCAGTATTGCAGGGTTGGAGCTAGGTTTGCTCTGGACTAAGTTGTTTACAAGACCCCTTTAACTATATTAGAAAGTTAATTATAACTATTTAAAATAGTATATTAACTAATTATTAGATTGGGGCCATACGAAAAAAAAAAGCCGAGTCAGGTAATATTTGAATAATTTGATACAAAGATGAAGCGTTAAACAAAATATTATCATTTATTATTCAATTATTTATGACAAAATAATTTATTACTCATTATTTGTTTCAATAATTCAAACTCGTTATCTTTTATTTACTTTTAATATTTATTTGTGTGATTAACTACTTAATAATTTCTTCTTCTTCTTCAGCTTTTACAGGCCATTAAGGCCCATCACTGCTCCACACAGCCTTCTCCATTCCTCTCTATCGTTTGCCAGTTCCTCCGGGTTTTCAACCCCTAGTATCCGAAAATTCTGGTTGGGCTCGTCCATACTACTTAATAATAATGAAACAATTTTTTTTTAATTATTCAATTTGCAAATGTAGATTTTAGGGTAAACTTCAAGCAGTCAAGTTTAATTTGATTGTATTAAATTAAAAAATATTTTATCATTTTATAGAATTTATTTTGAATATTTTGTTTCCTGGGAACTTATGTATTTTAGATCTTGTATTCTCTAGCTCCTAACTACCTTAAATTTTAGACCTCGATAAAATATTTTTTTTTTTTTAGTGTTAACCAATAATCTTATTATAACACCTTTTTTGTTTTGAATAAGTTATTTACTAGTAATTTATGTATTTGGACCGGCAAAAATGCCCAATAAAAAAGAATATACAATATTCAATAGCGTATAATATTCTAAGATAAAATCTTTATGGTTACTACACACTTATTAAATAGGGTTTAATCTATTTATTTAACCTGAAATATATACAAATACATCTAATCATAGGTTCTTGGATATTTCTTACATATTAGTTATATTATTTTATTAAATTATTTAAATATAAATTAAAGTTATTAATAGTTAAACATGAAAATAAATCAATATGAATTCGACCGTTTTTATTTGTATAGATAATATTTATCCACATGTAAACTGTGAAAACTACCTTTTGTTCATAAAGCTATAATTAGTATACTATATAATCCATGAATAAAAAGGTATCTATTATCTAGCAATTTATTATTTCATTTAATTTTTAATTAACCATGCTATTTCAAAACATAAAATATATATTTCTTTAATTTTTGTAAAGTTTGCAGTAATTTCTTTAACTGCAAAAAGTGAAATTTATTTAAGTATGTTAAAATCGTAACTACATATCTCTAATTTCTAACAACACTGTTCTAACAATGTTTTTATCCTGAGTTAGTTTAAGAACTGAATAAAAATGTTTAGGTGATAATTTTCTGTTAAAACTGAAACAATTTATTTTGTAATATAAATAAATTTATAATTGAAATATTTTTAAAAATGTCAACCGAGGTCCAATAAGACAATTTTATTATCCAAAATAGTTATACAAACACATTGGTTAATTTTATAAAAAAAAAAATTGTACAATATTATTACATATTTTATAAGGGCATATTAAACGTTTTTAACAACTCATCATTAAGACAAATAATATGATCATAATCTGGTAACTCTTCTAATGGAATAATCACTTGCCATTCATTTTTTTCAGGAACATATCTTTCACAAAAGACTCCATCACTACGACTGTCCTTTCCTATCCACCAAGCTTTGTTTTTTCCCACAACGTATAAATTATTACCAACAAGAACGCCACCTGTAAGTCAGAATAAAGTGATTTGCATATTATATTGTATATTTATTGAAAATATTCATTTACTTGACATCCGTTTTCCGAAATTCATCTCGGGAAGTGGTTGCCAAATTGAAGATTGCAAATTAAATTTAAGAACTCTTTTCGTTAACACAGGAAAACCACCAAATAAATAACAGTCGTTTTCTCTAATGACAATACCCATTGAACCTTGTCTTAATGGCATGGACTCCATCTGTTGCCATTGATTTTCTATAGTATTATAGCGATCAACACTATTCAGTCGTTTACAATTCTCACCAAATCCACCAATCTTGAATAAAAAAATTCATTCAAAATTTCGTTAAAAATGCAAAAAATTTGAATACATATCAGGCCTGAGCTTTTCTTAATTAAATAAAAACTAAGTTTTTGAAAAAATTAGTTATTTAAAATACATTTTATTTCCTAAACATTTTTTTTTTTACAATCATAATTATTTTATTTTTGTTTAAGATGTTTTCACACAAAGTATATAATAATTTATTTCCCTCAAAATTGTTGTAGGATTTACTGTTATTGACATATTTGAAGTCCAGCCCAAATATGTGCTGTAAACTTTTGTCAATTTCCATATTTCATCATTTATTGTGTAAAAACTGTTTTTAATTTCAAAAAAGAAAGACATTTTTTTTTCAATTATGAATAATGTTTAATGCCATTAAAGAAATAGTTGGTTTTTAAGCGTTTACGTTATTTTGCAAAATATTTCTGTTTTTGTTTATATATGTATTTCAGAGCTCTGCTTAACTTTGACTTAAACAGATATTAATGTTATTTAAAAGTTTTCATGGGTCCAGATATTGTTAAAATTTATATTTTGGCAGCTTTAAACTTTTAAAAAATTCCAAGCACAACAATCAAATAGGCCAAGATTTAATAATATATATATACATTTTTTAAATAATAATAGTAAAATAGTAGTTTAAATAATAGTATTGATTTATTAAAAAAAAAAAAAAAATGTACTTACAACATATACCCATTCGGCATGAATTATTACATTGCTTAATTTTCGAGGGCTGGGCATTTGCTCTTCTATTTCAATCCATATTTTCGAACATGTATCGTAATATTCTATTGTGTTTAATATTCTATTGTTAAACGAACAACCTCCGACCTAGATTAATAAAATCATGTGTGTATTTTTAGATGTATAGTATTTAGTTATTTATCGAAAAAAATCTAAATCAAAACTCACAACATATATGTATTTGCCTTTAGCGCTTACGGAAAACATTGTTCGTAACTGTAGCAAAGGCGATGTAGGAACCCAACGTTTTGACGTAGATGATAGGTCTAGTTCGTCCACACAATTTGTGAAATGTCCAAATTCGTTCCGGCCGCCAATCGCAAGTAATATTCCATTATCTGAGACGACCAAAGTTGTTTCAATACGGCGAGGACAAAAAAATAAAAAATTGCTTGGTTTCCAATTTATGTTAGTCTGGGCCCTAGGATCCAAATACATTACACATGAATCGTTGCCATTTGATAACCCCTTTATTGCTAACATAATCTAAAAATATACATATATTTAAATACAAAAAAAAATGTTGTTCATAAATTTTAAAATATTTGTTTTATACGTTTGGTTCATATCGTTGAGGTGTCCGAAAATTTGTTTTATCGTTAGTTACCATTCTTTTCAGAACATCTATCAAACCTAAAAAATTCGAAGCTAGTATTTAGACATGAATAACACAACTTTGTATTGAAAGAAGACGAAATAATTATTATACATATTTGGTTAAGTTTTTTAATTGGAAATTACATTATCAAATACCTTGTTAACATTTAATAAAGCCAATTAAAAAAAAAATCAAAAACTTTTAACTAAAACCATTCCTAAAATATAGTATTGAAAACACTTAAAACTAAATAAGAGTATATATTGGATTAACTTAGTTAAGTCACTTACAGTCTATATTACTTTCCAATAAAGGTTCATTGCAAATACGTCGTCTTCCATTCATCGAAAATAAAGGTGACCTCAAGTGTTTCATTAAATTTGGTAAATATTTGTTCCGTTCATTTGTGTTATAGTTGATCCATCCAATTATAAAATCTAACACCTATAATAATTAATGAATTATTATTCATTCATTTTATTCATATTTTAAATATCTATTAAATAAATAAATTATTAAAATACAAAATAAATCATTGTTTTTATTGATCCAATAAAAAAAAAAATACTTTAATAAATATATATTACTAGTTAAGACATTTAGGTCAATAAACATAATATAATGTATTGCAAATGGTCTATTAAAATAAATATCTTACAAATGTATTAACTACCTTATCTTCAGATTCAATAAGTAAATGATCTTTTTTGATGAGCTCAACAACATCGTCACAATCAAATTCGTATAGACTATTTAAATTTGATTCATTTTTCACAATTGTTCTACAAGTAAAAAATTAAAGCATTAATTTATAATTTCTCTAGCATAATCTTAACTTGGATACATACTTGAAATTGTTTAACAAGTATGAGAAACAAAAAGTGTACAGTCCAGGTTGCGATATAGACTTTGTATATCTCATGAAATCAATGCAATTATTGGCATCTATATTGTGCTTAATATAACTAAAGCATAAATCCCTTGCGTGATTGAAATCAAAGTAATCAGCTGCTCTCAAAAGGTTCTTAAAACAAAGAAAATACCAAACAATATAAGTTTATAAAATATTCTAAATTAAAATAACATGGTAAATTAAATATAAGTACTTCAATATTATTTTCCTTAACGTTCAGTTTGAACGTATAAGCACATGTTAAAATAGATTTTAAAATATCGGAATCAATTTCTTTGATAAAAATCTTGTTTTCTTTGCTCTCTTTAAAGCTACCATAGAGCATCGATAACAGCATAGAGCTTGCAGGTGCTAAAATTAATTTATGAGCTTCAATTTGTGTGCCATCATCACTTACTAAGGTAACATCGCACATGATTTGCTTCCTGTAAACATTTATATTTAGTATCAATTTAGTTAAATTAATAATGTATAGAATACATTATCATTGTTATTAAATTTAAGGATTCAAATTTATGGACATTAAGTGATATAAATACAATTTTATATCAATTCAAAATAAAATATCAATTTAAGTCATTCCAAAAAAGTATTTATAAATCTATTTATGATGAGAGAAAACACACATATCACAAATCGAAAACCACTGTCTTACTTATTTGGTGTGTTATTATGAAAATATTAACAAGAAAACCTGAAATTTATAAAAATCAAATAATGATTAAAATTTAACTATTCTAAGAAATGTAATTTTTGTGATGTAATGAAATCACATCACTCATTACATTACTAGCATGGTATTAAATTAAGGTTCCGTTACTTAAATAAAGTTGTAACAAAACTACATCAATCATTTTTCAACATGTAATAAAATTATATATAAAAATTTAAGAACATATGGCTCTAAGACTATAAACGGTTAAATGGCTTAAAACGTTAATTGTTATTATAAACCAGGTGGTTAATAATTGTAAAATATAAAACAGTAATGAGGTTACATACAATAGCTTTGTTCCAATATAGTGTTGTAAACTTTCCGCGCATATGCAAAGACGTGTTCCAGCAAAACAAATAGAGATCATCTAACAAAATGTTTGCTGTTTCATCAGCGCTGCAGCATGTTGTCAAGTTGTTGGAAACAATAATTTTCTGTTGCGAGTTAAACGTTCAGTCACAAGTTTGGGGCATGCGTAAAACGTGAACAGTTACATAAATCTTGTTATTATATTGTATATTTTATTTTATCATGGTGTATCTTGTTTACTCAATTGACACTCATGATAATTAATAATTATTCAATAATTAATAAAAAAAATTGATGTTATTTTGGCGGTAAGCGCAAAAGCAAAAACCTAAGTTAATATGGGTTACATCATGATTAATGGTAAGTACCAAAATCGCCGAAAACTGTTCCAGCAGATTGTAGTTGCAAACTGGTTATTTTAAGCGCATGCGTGTTCAGAATATGTTGCTATCAACGGTAACTTGTTTACAACACTTATGCTGGAACAAAGCTATAATATGTATGACAAGTTAGTTTTTTTTTAAGGAAGAACATCAGAAAATTAAGTGGATAGATGCTAATCAAATTGAAAATCTTAAAAATATGTTAAAAACTTCATTGGCTGAGGTTGTTATGAAACTAACATTGAAATTGGAGGCAATACATCAAATTGGAGGCCTATCATTATAGGCAATACCTAAGCCATAGTGTAACAGATAAATTTTTTTTTAAGGTTTGTGAAAACCAAAAGCAGAACAGTAACAAAAATTGAGCTGAACATTACACAACTTAAGGAAAGAAAAATATTAATGAAACAATTTTTTTTACTAGTTTGATTAATACTTTTTTTTAAGACCAATTTTATTTGTTTACAAAATTGTATTGTAGGCATTAATATTTTAGCAAATAAATCTAACTAATTTTCTAATAGCTAAATAAAAAATCAGGCCTCTATTCCCAAGAGAAACGGATAGTGATCAAAAAACTTAAATTTATAATTTTTGATCGCTACTGTATCTCAAGGGACTAAAGGTTCGTCCAATAGATAAGCCAAAAATGTTTGACATAAACTAAAAAAAAATAACTTCAACTAGGAAAACTTACATATTTATTTACTTTCAAATAGTTGTTATACTAAAAATAGCTTCTAGATCATTTTTTGTCAAATATATACATTAGAATGGTTCAAAATAACCTTAATTTATTATTTTATGTTCTTCTCTTGGGCATATATTATTTGGATCAAAAGATAAATTTTTATAGATTTGGTTTGGGTTGATTTTATATTGAAAGTTCATTTTTTTAGGTCTAATAATTTATTTAATGAAATATGCTTAAAAAAAAATTTTTTTTATATAATAATTCAGTATAAATAAAAAAAAAATATTGATTTCAAACATTTTCATCTATTTTGGTCCATGGCATTAGCAATTTTATATTTTTTTATCAAGTGAATATCAACATTTATTTGTTTTTATGCTGATAATTTTTATATAAAAGATTTTTTTTATAAGCATTTATTGAACAAAAAATACTGAAATTTTGATACAAACCCAACCCGAACTGCTCTAAAAATGAGTTTAGAAATCTAAAATATTATCTTTTTACCCAAGTAATATATTCTCAACAGATGAATAAAAATAATAAAGTAATGTTTATTAGAAACACCCTAATACACATATGTTACGTCTTAATTACTTTAGTTTGTAAATTGTATTTCTGGTTAAGAAAACAATAAATATTTTAAGTTGAAAAAACATGTACATCACAAACATTAATATTTGTTTTTTTTTATTTTATACAAACTAATTAATTCTAAAGATATTTTAAATTGTATCAACAGCTAACTTACTGAAAAAAACGATAAAACATATCATAATGTTCTGCCATAATCATCATAGTTTGAGTTGGTGTATTGTACGTGGCGCAATTAGAATTCATTTTAAACAATTTTGGCCGGGTTCCAAGTCAGAATATTTTCTGTTCTGTATAATACAAACCAAGTCATTCAATAAAAATAATACAAAATAACTTTTAAGTAAGTATAATACCAACAATTAGAACAATATTGTATGGACTACACTCGTACACATTTAAGATGTTAAACAACGACCTACAACTGTGAACTGTTTCTACTGCACTTGTGAGTTGTGAAGACTGGAGAGAACTGAGAACATTAACTGGCAAGTAACACGAGAAATGAGAACTAACACTAGACTTGAATGATGTTTTATAGTAATAATAACATGGTTGAAGTTACAGTCGATACTCGATTACTTAAATTGGCGGCCCGTTGTTGTTGGGAAGCAGTTGTACCAACATTTTGCATTATGTTGCCAATAGAAATGTCAATTTATGTCTAAAGTGCTGGTAAGGCACCGTGCATCGTATGGAGCGCAGCACCTCCTTGTGGCTAATGCACTTACTTTTAGTAGAATACATTTATTTGAGCGACATGGATTTTCTTCTAAAAGCGCTACAGTTGTAAAACGAATAGTTTTATCCAATTTTTGTACATAATCTTAAATTGGTTTTTAGGTTCTTTTAGTTGCTGGTAATCCATTTCTATAAAGTATAGAAGACTTGTTCAATCGAATAATATGAATTATAAAGTATAAAATTATTTACTCATTTGAAAACAGAAGGCGGAGGCCGAAGATAATATTTTAAATAAAAATCTGTATGGTATTACTGCAGCAAAGTAAGAAATGTAATTTGTAAAACGGTGCATCCCGGGGTAGGAACGTCCAATAATACTGTGACATTAGTATTTTTTTTTTTTATACCTAGTAGAATGAACCGATAATATTCCCATCAGATAAGGCTGACCGCCACGCACCGATGCTATAATGTAGGATTAATGTAGACATGCGAGACTATACGTGCCATTATTGCTATTTTTAGTATTTGGTTTAACTTTCCTTATCAAAAATATTAATTATTATTTATTAGGAGGTATTACATATTGGTATTGGGCTCAGTGTTTGTACTATATTCATATGTTTTGAGTAGCGAATACTGTAATAGTGTATACAGTATAAATTTAAAAAATAGGCCTACCCGGATTTGCCCGGTATCCCGGTGGGCCTATTTGCCCCTGGTTGGATGCGATTGAAAACAATGTGAGAACTGCTGGTGTATGGGAAGATGTGTGTGGGAAATCGTATCGAGTGGAGATTTAGGACAAAGCTTGTCGACTCCAAATAGTTGGGATGAAGTAAAAGAAGATTGACAATATTATATCACAATTCCCATGTAACAAACGATATAATATTTTTCTTTATTTGTGTATTGATTATTATTTGTAACTAATCTAAGGTTCGTGTTTGAAATAAAATCTGAATTCAACAAATTATTTAATTTAATATTTTCTTTAAACTAATAGCTGTAAACGTTACAATATATAGTTACCTACTTAACTATTGTGATGCTGATTTCGGATTGAGAGTTATCAGACCTTTTCTTAGGTTTGACATGAATTATTCCTCTTATGAGTTCACATGCCGCGTGCGGTATTGTTTATATCGTTATTCGATTTAACTAGGTACCTACATAGTATATAGATAATAGGTTCCTGATATTATAATATAGTACCTACCATAGGCGTGCAGCGTGCCTGAAATAGCTTCACCAATAAAAAAAAAACGGTTAATCTCGTTAATTTTCCGCAAAAATTGAGAAAACAGCAAATAAGCAAAAAAAAAAGATCCCGTTTTAAATGTCACGTACATCCTACCCTAAACATAATAATATTTAGGAAAAGGTAACTTACAACGGTGATATATTTCCTATTTTTTATTAAGTGAATGCAGAGTTTTTTTTAAATAAAAAAACCATTAATATTGGTCATTTTTTTATACTTCACAGTTCACAAAAACAAAATATTAGATAAATCCTAATTATTAAAAATGGTTGTAAATAAACAGACACAACTAACAAATAGGGGTTCTTTACACAGAAGTCGTAAACTAAAAAATAACTGACCATAATGATACCATTTAACTTGAGATCAAATTTCTTTCCAAAACTAGATAAATAACACATTTTAATTAATTACGCTAGAAATTACATACAGAACTTATTTTACTTTCTTTAAAAAGCCCTGAGAGTTGTTTTTTATTTTCTAACATAGTAAAAGGTAAATTACAAAGATTTAACGGCTTTAATTAATTAAATACATAAAACTATGTACATGTATATTGTAATTTGTGTATTTTACTATTAAATCTGTATAAAATGTCGAAAATAATTAATAAACAGTACCCATTATCATTAAATATTTTAATGATTTTAACATATTCCCGACCACAGTTGATAGATATTTTAAAACTATCTATACGTAATAGGTCCTGTAAGTCTATGATGAAGATTGATGAATAATAGATGTTACATCATAGTCATTTGATAACTGATGTTTTGTTCCCACGGTAAAATTATGGACTTTTAAACCAAAAAATGAATGCTAACATGGATAGCTAAAAAAATGTAAGTCACAATCCACAGGTCACACTACAGCACACTAAGGACACCCCGTGCGCACGCCTATAGTATCTATTTACCTGGTTTAATGGCAGAAATTATTTGTCATGAGATTTCCTAACGGCTAACCGTATACTGCAACCCAACGGATGTAACGAATTGAGGTTTTTATTAAAAGGTTCAGTAAATATAAAAGTGAGAGGGGACGACAGATTTATCGCACTTACCAATATATAGGTTTGTAGGCGTTTTTTTCCCCATGTTATATGAACGGAGATCCTATTTCATCAATATATGATACGATCCCTTTCAAGCTTAATATAATAACACAAAAAATATAATTTTACACATTACATGTTTAATATTTAATGTAATAATTGAACCGTTAATGAGCATTTCAGAATCAAGGATAAATCCATACCTGACCAGACAAACGTCTCTGGAGTCACATATATTTTTGTAAGTACGTACCTATATTAAACAACCAACTAGGTATAAGGCCGGCTACAATCCGCTCTAGATCGTCGTTGATACTTCGCTTGGATCCCTAACTCACTAAATAAAAATCAACTAAAATTGCCTAATAGAAGTTAGTTATATTTTGAAAAATCGATTTTTGTTTTCAAAATAAAATCATAATAAGTATTAATGTATTATTATGTATCAGCCCAAACATACAACTGTAAATTATTTAAAGTAAACGTATTATAAATTAATTTATAATTATTTCATTGAGTACCGAATTAATATTAATATGTTTTAAATAAAGTCAACTTTGTCATTGCTTAGCTTAACTGGCCTCGCGTAGGTCCAACGCCGCTATTATGAGCGATGGCTATTGGCCTCTTAACGAATTCGCTATCCGCCACTTAGCCTTAAAGAGGGATTTGGCTATTCTTTTCACCTAAAGATTTCTCGCCCAGAATGGTCATGACTCATGAGTCATGTGACAGAGTGTCAAACTAGGCACTAGCGACACTGAGCGCTAAACATACTGCCGCCTACCTACTCGGCCACTCGTCCTTCTATAAAATATTTGTATTTTATTAAACTATAAAGTTTAAATTGTAAATATTTATAATCACGAAAACATATTGATAATTATTTAGCTCAGTGGCCTGTGGGATAATAACTTTTTTTAACATTGAGATGGAACCATTCGCGTTTGTTTGAAAGTGAGAAGAGAAGGTATAACCAGGATTTTTTTTTCTAATTGATTTTGGGCCGATCCATAATTTATTGGGTAATTTATCTAGGAAAATCGCATGGTGTTGCGACCAAAACAAGAATAATTTTATTATCAATATAATATAATTACTCGATCTGGAAATAACTTATTATAGATTTTGTATTATTGTTACTATAATTATCTTTTTATGTTTACTCATCTGTATATGTCTTAAATAGTACTCCAATTTCACCGATAAGAGGTTTTCCTCAGTGGTGAATTGGGCCATTTTGTCAATTTAGGTTTATAGTACACATGTTTTTAAATGTAATTCTATGATGGCCAATAAATTATTATTATTATTTTTTGTCCATATTTATGTTCATTAAGCAAATAGCGTACCAATTATCGATAAAATTAGAACTCTCTTTTTAATCGTTGGAAACTGATTTGTAGGAAATAATAGAAACAATCTTTTTTTTTTTTATAATAAAAAGAAATGACTAAAATCAGCTGCAACAAAACCACTAGTAGATTCATTATTTTCAAATATTTGTACCTTATAATAAGAGTAAGATAATTTATAACATATCGATGATTTTTTTTTCAATGTCAGCATTTTATTTTTGTGTTTCTGTTAATATTTTAGAAGAATCCCGGAGTACTAAATTATGTGTTTCAATTTTAAAATACTTTTAACAGTCGCCAATCGATGATAGGAGATTTAAAAAAATATTTTTTGAAAATATTAACGCTTGCAGTTTATGTTTGCCCTGTATAACAATATATTATGTAAGTACCTACCGGTCTCACAGAAAACAAGACCAGCTGGACCCCAGCGGGAATTCACCGATTTTCCGCCGGCCTTATCCGTTTCTGGTTAGATACATAATGCATTCGGCGAAGGGTATAAAACATAATAAACATTTATTGGAATACAATTTTACAACAAACGACATACAATTTTATAACAAAAGAATTGCCCTAAAAACGGTTAGTGTATAACAATAGCATACTCTCACCCTCTAGATACAGTCCGGGTGTACGTGGAGCAGATGTGCATTATGCATGTATGTGTGTGCATTATGTTTTATTGTCACGACAAAATTTGATCAGAAATGCCCTAGAGTAAACCCTCGGTTCTCGGGTAATGGCAGTACAAAAACCTATTATTCCACGACAACCCCCAGGCGAATTCACCCTCTTTTCACACAAGCAGCTGCATTGTGTTTTTTCACCACTTCTATCCGCTCACGAATTTCGGGCGTTGACGATTCTTTGAAAATCAAAACGTGTTTGTTGCAGTTGCTGGTCGAACATAGTCCAAACATTGTTTTTAAGTATTTTTAGTTTATATATAACATATACTCTTACTCTGTATATTTAACATATAATTACTTCGATCTTATTCAACGCCGCCGCGATTATCAGCTACAAAGGTATGCAATAATAATTAAATAATAATAGAATTAATAGCGGACTGACCCGTCTAGGACAACGAATCCGTCTAAAAAACATCATCTCATGGTAGCAGCTTTGGGCCTTATAGCCCTGTGAAGCTTGATTATGATGATAATTAATAGCGGTAGGTATACCTAGTGTGTCTATCCTGGCAGCCAGGATGTTCTACCGGTATATTGTTTTTGTAATTAATCATACAGTATACCGGATACCAGATACCTTGTATTTGATGCGTTTGTACGGTGTAGCAATTATGTTAAAGTTGACAGTGGGTTTAAGGAACTATAATATTAATAACTCAACTTTTTGAAAAACATTTTTTATAATTTAAGTTATATAAATGTTTTTAATATTAAAAAGTAGAAAATTACTTTATTGAAGAGGTATACTGGACATATTCAATAACAGCTGTCAGCTACATGACATTATGTAAGACATTCTCATCAAATTTTTCAAATTCATAATAGATTTATTTGCTAGATTATTAATCCTATTATGGACCGAGTAAAACAAATACTAGTAGCTGTAAGTTTGGGTTGGAAACATAGTAAAAAATACACTGTCAAGGGCGCTGAAAATTTAAAAGAAACCCACTTACTTTACTAATTATTACACACAACCATTTTAAGTTTTTTTTTACTATAATTGCTTAAAATTTCATTTGGGGGGTCATGAGGTTAATATAAATTCTATGAAAATGTTTAATTTGGTTGCTAAATATCTCTTTTGAGGCGCTTGAAGACTTAATGTCAACTATAAAATAACTTGTAAAAAATGATTATAATTAAACATTACAAGGAGACATTATTTTCCGTGTAGGTAGTTATTTTGTACTGCTAAACTAGCTCACATAAACTCACTAAAAACTGTATGGTAAGATTTTTAAGAACAGGATTTCAAAGCAAGTACATATTTTATGATTAATAAACGAAAAAAAAACAATCCATCAAAATGCTGATGTAAATACTACCAAAACTAATGTCAATACATTAAGATCTAACATACATATAAGTATATTCTTTCTGTATAATTGGCCTAAACATATTCCAATAACTATAATAGTTCCATAGATTATGGACCCCATACGAATCAAAAGGTGACGACAATCGCAATTCTTAAGAGTTAATGATAATATTTCTTGTTTTAAAACACTTTTTCATCCACAATTTTTTCTTTACTTTTTTTTCCCACCAACAATACATATATTATCGATAGTTAATATAAATAATTAATAACCTTTACCCATATTATTTACTATTACAGATTAGTGATTACTGTAAATAGACTAAAAATTGATTTAATTTTTTCGATAAATCTTGTCAAGAGCACACTACACTTTTCACATTATTATTAGCCAGTTAGGTATAACTTGTTTTTACTCCAAATATCGACTTTAAAGGCAAATTTTTTTTTACAATTATGTATTCTAACAATGTCGCTATTCCTTATATATCTAAAATACATAATATGTATAAATCCTCCCTCTTTTGTTCTCTCATCATTTTTACAATCACTACGTTAATCCCTTTATCCATTCGTATTTCAAGAAGTCATTTTAATTTGTCCTTCTCTTATATTTAAAAAAAACAAATTAATCTTGTGTATCATTTGAATATTATAACTTTATCATGAGTACTACATATACCTACAGGTACCTCGTTTTTCTAACATGGATACATTGTATATTATAATAAATAATTGTAGAGCTGTAGTTCAATTTCTAGTGATTGACAGTACAACAAATTCTATTGGGGGGGAGGGGCTTACTCCAGAATCCCCTATGTAAGTACGTATATATATATTTAATATTATTCATTATTTTCATAAAATCCCGCGACCCGCATCGCTATTTATATAAAAATCGGAGGAAGGCGTCGCGGTCAATACAGAGTATGACAGGCCAAACGGATCATGCGCTACCTCCGTTTTATTGTTTCTATACATAGTATTTTCACCCCTTAACCCTCCGGCCACCGCTCGTCCGTCGTGAGCGCACGTTGCTATGGTAACTGATTTCATTATGATTTTTGTCAATAGTTGGAATAAACCCAACTTCTAAGCTGCAGCCAGTATAAATATTTTAAACCCGGGAAATTAGCGCGCTCTAATAGTCGGCTTATCCTCGAATATTGTTTATTTTTTTTAGTTTTTAAATAGAAACGGTAAGTTACGGTTGTCGGCATCTATTTATGTATTTATTATCATATTACTCTGTTTTAGCACAAACTTAATTTTTGAATCTCGAGTAAACATGTTGAAAGTACACGACGAAATGCCAAGAACGCACAACGAGCTCGTCGACCATTTGGTTGATACAAAAGCGGTTTGCACGAAAAAAGTGGAAATGGCGTTCAGAGGTGTCGATCGAGGCATCTATTACAACACGAAAGACTTGGACAGTGCTTACAAGTTATTGACTTGGAAGTCCGGACTTACAAACGTACCGTCGCCGTTCGTGCACGCTTTTGCGTTGGAGTTCCTCGAGTTGGAACCGGGACATGCATTTTTGAACGTCGGTTCCGGTGTCGGTTGTTTGAACATTATGGCCGGCCTGTTGCTCGGTAAGTGTTTGATGTACATTTTATCTTTTATAATATTATAATATAGTGTGCGCCTTGAAAAATGACATAATCATGAAAAGGAGTACAACTTCATACTGATTATAAAATATTATTTGTGTCAATTATTTATTCAGGTCCGTACGGTGTCAACCACGGTGTTGAAATTTCCAGCTATCTCGTGAAGTACGCTTACAGCAAACTAGAACAGTATAAATCGAATGCAGCGGCAATGGATTATTATGATTTTTGTGAACCAAAATTTGTGGCAGGTAATATTAAATAATATGTATTATTAAAAAAAAATATTTCAGATTGACAAAAATGTTTTAAAGTGATTTGTTATAAATACAGGAAACGTAATTGATCTGTCACTAACGGGTATGTACGATAGAGTTTACTGTGGGGCCGTTGTTGAACCTGAGTATCAAATGTTCATAAGGTCGCTTGTCAAGGTAATAATAATTGTTTTTCAAAATATCATACGCAATATGTGCCGTGCGTTTGTAGTGCAAAATATAGCTTACATACCTCCTTTTTCTAGGTTGGTGGAATTTTAATCACAATGACCGTAAACGAACACTTAAAATGTAAGCGAATTGATGAAAGTACATGGAGCGAAACAAAATTATTCCCAATGCTAGTTAAAAAACTAATGCACTTGCCGGCAAAGTTTGCTATAAATCCAGCACCATCTTGTAAGTAGACAAGTTGTTCACTATTTTATATGTTTAATTGGGTTTCAAACCCCACTTCTATTTAGTTAGTCAGGGCAGTCCCTCAAGCAATGCATACGTTTTATAAACGTTTTTATATTTTTTTAAAGTTTTTATGACTGCTTTGTAATTGTGAAAAAGAAGTAAGTGTATAAAGTTTTAGAGATGTTTAAAATTAAAAAAAAAATTGTATTTTGTTGTTTATATTTTTCAAGTTTATAAAACATAGTTTTGAAAAATATAGACAAAAAAAATAATTCTCACATCTTAAAAAAGTTATTTATAATGACATAACACATAAAAAAAAAAATGTAATGTTCAACATAACCGAGTTGAGAAACAAATTATATTTTAATTAATAATTAATAATAAATAATGAATTTTACTAATCGTAATGAAATAACTTATTTTATAGTCACCGTCGAGCCCCACACTTTACAAGACCTATGCAGATTTAAGGTGCGTTCGTTATTACGTGATAAATTATTGAATAAATATCCGTCCCTACAAATGCAAACAATGTGTACTTCGGAAGAATATCCACTAGAAGAACCGGAATTTATATATGCTGATTATATGGATACAATATTTGCTTCTAATTTCACAGCTGAACCGTGGGAGTTCCCTTATCACAGTAAGAAAATGTTGTTTTGGCTTATTGTCGCTATCTCATAATGCAATTTTGATCATTGTTAATAATTGTTTTATATTAGATGTTACTTTTCCGATGCTCAACAATGACATTCATTTTAGTGTAATGAGTTCTGAAGAAATCCCTGCCACACGTACAAACATTACAAATTTAAGTAAGTCTCAAGTTTTTCTAATTTTAATGTAATTTTAAGAAAAATGAATCTAGTAAACTCTTATTGGGTCTGGGCACTTATTTAAATATCAAGTAAATATTTTTAGAAGTAATTATATATGATTAGTTTGTAGTACTTTTTTATATACTTTTTAAAAAAAAGTTGTTATGAGTATAAGTATTTCCTTTTTTTTAAAACCTATAATATGGTTTGCATACATACTTGTTTTTTATCTGGTTTTACTTACAACATAATATGGGACATTATCCTAGAAAGAGAAAAACGCTGTCCCATTTTTCGATGGAAGAAATTATTTAAAAATGTTGAAAAAATGCTATTAATAAATATTTATTTGTTCTATCTACTCAAGATGAAAATTAATGACAATCCATTATTATCACATTTTAGGATAATAGCCCATGTATTAATCTTAAAAATGTTGTACCTAACTATCTACTAATATATTTTAAGTAGGTAAATACATATTAATTTTTTTTTTTTGATTTGCACTTAATCTAATTAATTTTTCAAATTTAATTATTATTTAATTAAAAAATTATTTTATTAAAGAAAATAGTATCAGTCAATTTGTATTTATTACATTTAAATTTGTTTAAATAAATAGATGCCTCATTTTTCTGACTTTGTATTTACACATTTTATTTTTGGGGAATCTGACCTTCTTTAAAATAAAATTAATGATTTTCTTATCAATATTTTTATAATTACAATTTTAATTTTAACATTTTGACTATTGATAATGAATTTTTATGTCACCATTAGATCATGAAACTAATTCTGAAGAAAATGAGACTTCGAATCAACAAAGTAAGCTTTTTGTTTTTGAATTCAAATTTTATATTAACCAAAATAAGTTGAGTAAGTCTTTGCAATCTAAAATAGGTTAATTTCCAACTATTCATTTTTACTACAATTTTTTATTATAAAATGTTAGTTAAATAACATGTATTTAGTCTTTCGAGTATTAATATTTTAACTATTAGATGTTGAAGCTGATACTGAAGATAACCTTCTATTTCTTATCAAATACCCTCAACCTAATTTGAGTGAATGTAATTCTACAGATGTTGAGCCTGAACCCGAAAATGCAAGAGTTGCGCCCACAGTACCGACAATATCAAACAGTCCAACCACGTCTTCTTGCTGCAATACGAGTGAAGAACGAATGTTATTTAGCTGGCTATCTCAATCTGAAGAGAATGGTCTTGGCTCTGTTATAGATGAAATACATACCATGACAAGTGACGGTGATGTTGGCACATGTTTAGGAACGCAATATGAGGGCACTAGAACAAGTCGGTTTTTACCAATGATTAACAAGCCACCTTCAAAGAGTAGGTTCGATGGTTTTAATGCACTACCGAACTGGTTACAAGACATTGACATAACCAAAAAATATCCATGTAATTTTATCCCTGATCGTCAAAACAATAAGCTAAGTAAGCTATTAAAAAGCGAAATAAATAATTTAGCGATTCCAGAATCGTTAAAAAATTATCTTAACTTAGTCAGAAATTAAATGAAAAAATGATTTAATAATTTTAATACTTTTTTTTTTTTAGTATTTTAGAGATAGCTTTTAAATTTTTGAGAAACTATATATTTCATATATAGTTAGTTTTTTTATCAGCATCGTTGAATATATATTTGTTTTGATATTTCAATTAATAGTAAATTAGTTTGGGAGTGCAAGAAAGTCATCGACCCTATTATCAAAAATGTATTCTATTAGGAACAATTAAGTGCCAAACTTTTCAAAAACAATTAATTTTTAGACCAGCCTAGATCGGAGTTGCTGACGTATTACTTAAAAAAAATATATATATTAAAAAACCAGTTACTTTTTTGTTTAAAATAACAGGTTATATGTATTAAGTAAAGAAAAATGTATTTAAATAAAGTATTGTATGAAATTTAAAAAAAAAACTAATTTAAATGTTTGGATTAGTGTAATTTAGCGTTATACTCTATAGCCAATTTTTGTGATTTATATTATTGAATAAGTCTTTATCGTCTTCCAATTTCTTCACATTTGAGCTTTAGAAATTGGCTCATAAAAATATATAAGAAACTAATTTCAAAACTGAGATGCCACCTGTGTGTTTTTTAAAATTACCTATGTGTTTTATTATTTGTTATTATTTATTTGTTTATTTTATAATTTTTTACTTATGACCAAGGGTCTGTTAAAAAATTCCTATTTACTCTTATTTAAAAAATTAACTTTTAAATCTTAGCTTTAACTAAGAACTTTTTAAGTCTTTTTTTTTTTTATTTCTATACTTTATATGATTGTATTTTATTTGTTGAGTGTATTATTTGTTGTATAAAATATAAAATATTTATAAATTGTATCAAAACACTTAATGGTTTTAATTTCTTCAAAAACTTTTACAATTATACAATTACTTCAAAACATACCAAGGCTTACCAAAGAGAAAGATAGAGCAAACAAAGATATCCCTCTGGCCCTTTCGTACTTTTGTGTAAAATTCAATATGGTACCTACAAGTAAAACACACCACGTCTCGCCTTATAGTAAACTATTCTTTTCTCTGGTTAGCAGCGGTATAACAAATCTCGATATTTGGTTTAATATATTAATTGTAGCCTGTGGCGGATTAAGTAGACGTCTGGAAAATTTGTAAAGGTAATAAAAAATCATAAAACCGTCAATGATGGAATATAAAAATACCATATAATTACAATATATTAATGATAAAATTAAAATAAGTGTATACTATATAATTTTTCATATTTCTGTAACACAAATAAATCAACAATATTGTAACGATGGACATATTAATTAAATCACAATACAGATAATGTCTATTAAAAAAAAAGAAAAAATATACTATAATTTATTTGTATTTTAATTTTAAAGATTGTACTACATAAATAATAAATTAATTTTCCATTTTTCAATAATTAATAAGAATAAAAAAATACACATATACAAACACTAGAAACTTAAAACAAAAATTCTCATTCAGGTATATATTGTTTTATTATATACATACTTCTATATTTCAAAATATGTTTTTAGGGTTGTTAATTTTTTTATTTTTTTTTTATTACTAACAATATAGCGTAGATCTTTTTTTTCTATAACGTCAATATACATACAATAGCAAATAACGTTGTTAGTCTACATTTAAATTATTAATATTATAAAAACCGACAAAGAAAAAAACTAAATTATAAATAAAAAAAATTATACATCCATAATTAGAAAAAAGATACATAAATATATTTTCTTTTGCATACAATTTTTTTTTGTTAGAATATTTTTTTTTTGAAAATTAAATGATTTTGTAACAAAAAGCAGGATTAAATTATGTATGTAATGTATACTTTTAAAAAATAAATCTATGCGCCACCAAATTTTTATCATAATTTAATCAATACCCCTAATTTATACAAAGCTGTCTCACATATGGAGATCACTGATCGGTCGATGTTGCTTTAAGCTCTTTGATTTGTTTGATTAGATAAGCTTTTTCGTCGTTGAACTGTTCGTCTTCGGATCTCTCCGTGTGAAATCGTGTTAAAAACTCGACGAGCTTGTCTTGATTGCGAAGCAAAATATCGAGAATAGGTTTAGGCTTGTTTGGATTGGCGACAAAAACCTAAAATAGAAATACACTCAAAAAACAACCGATGCAATAAACAATAATATCGACAGCTATTATTTGATCAGAATAACAACTTAATATTAAACCCTGAGAAATGACAATATTTTAGTTCTAGCCTTTCCTTCTCAGTTGAATGATATTAGCGCTGGGTCACAAACATAAAAAAGGAGGACTTAAAATTGTTTTTTTTGAATTTATCATTGGAATAATATAAAATAAGTGAATGGTATAAAATCAAGTAATTGAAGTATTTTCTTAGCTTTTGTGTACATGACTCATTTCGTTTTCGACTTGAATACAGGGACCGAATTAACACATTAATGACATAATTGAAAAAAGGATAGTAAGGACGATGGTCATATAACCTGGCCTTGGCAACGTTAAGTTGTAGGTTAAAGGCCTTGGAAAAATCTATGAAGATAACATCCACTCAAGAATGTTAACGAAAAACTAAACAATATAATTACAAACGACCAAATTATACATGTGATTGTCGATCAAATGAGGTCACAGGTCTATACAAATTATTACAACTCAAAATGATAAAATCACTTTCAAATAAACGCTTCGATGTGAAACTTTAATGGTTGAATAACATATATCAATAAAATTATTGTAATTATGCCAAGTGCTAAAAAATGTATTTTTAGTATAAGGGAGTATACGATTAGGGTCAAAGTATAATTTTTCTCTTTTTTTTGTATTTTTCCTTAATAATAAAAAGTTTGTCTACAGATTTTTAGGAAAATTGTAAAATGTATAGCCCCGTTCTACATCTACTCTTGGACTAATTTGCAGACCATTATCTTTAAACTTCACCTAAAAAAACTATAGTGTCATAATTTTAAGTTGCAAAATATATAAATTTTTATGCTGACATATTTGATTTTATCATCGAATATTTGATGAAGAAGGATATAATATATAATAACCATGTATATTTTATATTTCAATCATGCATCTGACCCACAATAGTATCAATCACATACAATTACAGATTGATAGAGTTGTTACTCAAGTAAATCGGTTCATACAAAAAAAAGTTATCATGGCTTCACAAAAAAAAAAAAAAAATTAAAACTAAAATCTTCTTAGCTAACGCATCGCTAAAAATTATAGTTTTGAAATTATAAGTTTTATGTTAAATAATTTGTTTTAAGTCATACAACCTTAAAACAAAACTGACTCATTTAAAAAACTAAGAGGAATAATTGGTAAGATTTTAGTCTTAATCTATCATAGAAATATAGATTAAAATAAATAGCTCTTTTTTTTTTCTTTTTTTTTACTGACCTAACTTTTTGACTAAGTACTGAATAAATACAAATTTTTAAAAATACCTTGAAAACATGGAATGCTTCAAACTGTATATTTCTAGATTTTTCTTTCAACATGTTCATCATTAATTTTAAGTTGTCTGGGTTTGATATGTAACGAGTCATGACAGTAAAATTGTGACGATCTAAAAGCAGTTCTCCAAGTAATTTCAAGCTCTGTCGTCTTGTAACGTAGTTTTCAGAGTTAAGTAGCTGTTGATAGTGAACAAACACCTTGTCGTAGTTCATTTCGAGAAATTCGGCGCAAAGAGGCTTATGTCGAGTTAACAATTCCTAAAAACAATACGCAATTAGTAATGACAAAATATGAGAATGCGGAAAAATCAAACCTTAAAAGTGGAAAAGGCGTCCGAGGCTATATCGAACGTTGACACTTCCACGTAACGGAAAAAATTGAAAAACTCTTTTGCATACAACATAATTTTTGCTAAGGCTTCATACCTAGCACACTCTCGTAGCATAGTACCACAGTTTAATGCAATTTCTTGATGTTCGTAACTAAAAAAAAACCACATAAATAGATTTAATTTAAATTTGGCATAAGTAAGAGGAGTTCTTAATGGCGGACTTACCCAGCTATAAGGGTGAATAGAATCTCTGATTTTGCACAAATGTGCTCAACAGTAGGCGATCTACTGCCTAGTTGTCGACGAAGAACATTGTTAAACACTTGAGCAACATCTTTTTTACCCTAATAAAATTAAAATAAAAGTATCGTACATCAAATGTCTATTAAGTACATTCATCGCAATTAACTTACTTCGAAATCTATTTTTGTTAAATTTTGTATCAGCATTAGTAACAAATTGTTGTTGTACATTTCTTGTGCCAACTGAGCAACGACAATGTCAGACAGCGGCTCTGTGTCTGCAGTTCCATAGAGCAAATTTTTTATGATCAAAAGATTTTTACTAACATCTTCTTGTGCCTAAAATTTAAAATGCCATTGTTATAAACTTATCAACTGATAATTTGTGTTGTGAGCCTTAAAAGTAAAACACAATTAAAACAAATGCCTTTGTAAATTTTTTAATTTTATTTTATTTAAAATACACCCAATGTATTCTAAAAGCATCTGATAATATTATTTTAACCCGCACTTTTATGAATGTGACTGTGAACTACTAAGAAGAAGGTTATATTTATAATTTATGAGTTGTTATTATGTGTATGTTACATTGTGAAGCTGGAAAAAATCAATTTAGTTTTTAAGTACAATGGTAAAGTTATGTACATTTTTTTTAAAAAGTCGCGTAGTTAAGATAAAATTTATTTGATATAAAAGATTAACATAGAAGATAACAAGAAGAAAGATTTTCATAGAAAAAAACTTGTTTCAAAATATCTCTATAAAAAGCTAACAAAATAAATTAAAAAATATCTTATTTCTTTACTATTAATAACAATTGATAAAATAAGCTCAATCCTCAAGTAATGTTATGGTATAAATTGACTTTTATTACAAATAAATAACAAGTATTTTTTTCTTTCAAAATTTCGTTTTTAAATTGTTAAATGTGGATAGTTATTGAGGACACAGACTCAATTTTCAAAACTTTAGGATATTATAATATCTGTTACAGAACAATTTGCATTCTGTGGTACTAATTTACTTTATAAAGTAGGCAACTTTATATTTTGAAAAATAGCTCATTAAATTAATTGAAAAAAGTGTTACATATTAAAGTAAACACGTTTCAATAAACAGTTTTCAAAAAAATCAATTTTAAACATTTTAACTCGTAAATGCCCTTCTTGGTCTCGCTGACAGTTTGAGATGTAAAAGTAAAAAAATATATTTATTTGCAATATTAATTGCAGTAGTAAAAAAAACTAGTTATTTAATTTCATTAAATTCTGCGCTAAGTAATTTTACTTAAATAACGTGTTACAAAACGTTTAAAAAAAATATTCTATTTTGAAATTAAGAAAGGAAAATAATTTTTTGAATTACACTTAAAAATGAGAGGTTATCGATTTCAATGAAATTTTGACAGGTTAATATTAAGTGAAAAAAAGAATACCCATAATTTGCCAAATGAATTGTAATTACAGAGTAAACTTGCTCATTACATTATATTGAGTACAAAAATTGTAAGTATTGTACATAACTGACTGATTTTTGTGTGATTTACAGATACAGCTGAAACTTTTTTATAGCAAGTTATCAGTTTCAATGGCAGATATTTTAGTGTCATACTTCAACTGAATGAATATTTTTACTTAACTAAAATTTAGTTTAGTTTCGCATTAAATTTTTTAAAGTTAAAAATTAAAATTGCTCATATCAATAAAATGCAAAACAAAATTATAAAATTTTATTCATTTCTTATTTCATTTTAAGATTAAACCTGTCAAAAGTTACGAAAAATTAGTGATCCCATCAACATACTATTTTATAACATTCATGACCATTTTGGTGGGCAAAAAGGATATAATGCGCAGAAGTCATACACATTTTTTTGTTTGCATTTTTGGAGTATAAATATTAATTTTAAGCTAATATAAACTGAGCTGAAAGAAATTTACACAGTTAAAATCTATTTAAACTGATTCGTTCTTATAAAATTGTGCCTTTTAATAAATGCTTTATTCTGATCTACATAATTAAGTATAGAGGTGTTACCAATGGGTAGCTTCCTTTTCAAGATATACATACCCTGTTATAGTTTAGATAAAAAAAAAACTTATTGTACATACATATTTGTATAGATTGTTTTTGTAAAATAAAAAAAAAAATTAAGTAATGAAATCTGTTACATTACAAAATTGTTAATAATTGGCATGTTTATATAATAAGTTATATTTTTCTAGGTTGAAAAATTTGAATGAGTTGAATATTAAGTGTTCTTTACCTTTTCTAGTTTTTTATCTCCTTTTTCCAGCGCAACAACAGCTTCTTTTAATTGCTTCACCACTTCAACTGGATTTTTCTGAGATTTCCCAAAAAGAGGCATATTTCTGTATGAAAAAAAAATATATGTATTACAATAATAAGTTTACATTAATATTTTGTTAAGTTATACTGAAAGTATTATGTAGGTAAGTACTTGATATTAAAATATGCGTTCATTATACATTTCAGTTCTTCATTATTTAAACGGTAAACTTTTTAGATGAAACTAGCAGAAATAATACCTAGAATACAAGCAAAAGAATTTATGAATTTCTAAGATGTTGCACAAGATAAAATACATACTTGAAAATGTAATTTTAAGTAATGAATTTTCCTTTTATTTATCTTTATAAGTGTAAAGTAAATGAACTATAGATAATATAATTAAGGTCATAATATGATTTCATCGCAGATACAAATTCAAACATTTAGAAAAATTAAGCATTTTGTATAACATGATAATGTCATTATCCATTTTATAATTTTAAGTTTCCGAGAACATTGGCAAAGCTTTTAAAATTAAAACGATAACCAATGAAAGGGTTTCCTGCAAACAAAAATCACTTGAAACAATGCTTATGAAATCAGCTTAAAAAAAATTGTTACACGTTAAATGTTAATTTTACCATTTTTATAGTAAAGCTTAGGGAATTTTTAAACTTTCCATAATACTTTGTTTATTTTAAACAACAAGTAATAAGACTATTTAAACATGCAACAAGGTAAAAACGATCAAGCTAATCATATTTTCATTTACAAAATAGCTTTTTTGGCATAGGTTATGGACTACTGGAATTCTAAATTATTAAAACTGTTAATCAAAATTGTTTTGGCACACAAATAGGTGAAAAATAGGTGACTAATCAAATAGACTGGGATGGTTCCAAAAAACACATATCAAAGGAAAAAGGCACAGACGAGAATAAACAAAGTTGCTTAAAATTTATCACAGATTAAAATATTTGTTTTGCAGTCAAAAGAGGAATACAATTTCAGTATTAGAGATTTTAAATAGTCTATAGAACAGTCGAAATGGTTACATAATGTTTTGTTGAAACATTAATTAAATAGAACTAATTAGACCAGCTTAAGATTTTACCTAAAAATGTTTAAAATTATATGTAGTAATATTTTCAAATACATAAGTCAGTTTATTAAGTATTTTTTTTAAACTTACTGAAGGTCCTAATAATTGTAAGAAATGATAAGCCACATTTGGAAGTAAAAAATGAACATTTTATACGTTAATCAGAAATAAGAAAAATACCAGTTAAATAAAAAACTATCAAGAAATTACAAAAATACTAATAATTATGTGTCGGTTGTAAAAATGGAAAAAACAAACCATACAATACGATATAAGAATAATAATTATCTATTGTTACCTATTACATAATTTTTCTACTATCTATAAATGGTAAGCCATCAGATAAAAAAGTCTATATCTACATAACCAAATAGAAGTTTAACACAAAATTACAAGGTTCAAATCTATAAATATATGTAATAGATGCTTTATACATTTTTCTATATAATTATATCTTTATTGTTAAATAAAAAATAAAACCTATTGATATGGAAAGAGTATATTATTAAGAGTACAGGAAAACTGATAATATAATTTAAAACTCGGATAATTCCTAATTTATAGACTATGTACACAAAATGATAATGAATATTTGATAAGAAAACGTGAACGGTAGTTTGAAAACAAAGATTGGTTAAAACATAAGCAAATATATTTTTCTTCAAAATACAAAAATAGTTTTCCAAGACTACAATCTACCAAACCAGATTTATGGAAGTGGCGATTAGATTTTTTTCGAGTCACAGACGATCGAATGAGTACATTGACATTGACAATTTTATTTAAATGACTGACTTTGAAAGCAGATTGTTCCAACAAACAGAAAATTAGGTACTGACAGTTGTTAGTGGCGCTATTAAGACAACTCATTTACTGTTGGACCAATCTTAATACTTGATGGTTAAGTTAAGTTTTGAGGAAAACTGGAAACTAAAACAAATCGATGACCGAGTGGTAAGAGAGTTTGTTGCGTACATGTAAAACGACAATAATTTAACGAATTTGACCGAGGAATTAATAATTATTATTCAAATTATATAGTGGTCGAGCATTGAACATACTGTGGTTTGTTTAAAAAAAAAAAAAATGTAGATTTATCGATACACTTACCAGGCAAATTCAAGAAGCTTAGACCACTGTAGATTCAACTCCTCTGTTTACCGTTGAGTTAAATGTCGAACTCAGACGGAATTTTTGAATCAAATTTGTTTGTTGTTGTTCAGACTTCAGACGAATTCGGTGAAACCAGCTCGTTCCATCTGTTCTGCGATTGTAATGATAACAAAAAAAAAAAACGACAACGGTAAAGCTTTAGACGAACAATAAACCTGATAATAATAATATTAGATATTATTTTGTAAAAAAAAAACGTCTACCTGTTAAAATAATAATAATTTAATTATTACCTATTATCGAAACGGTCGACGGTCGATGGTAATAATAATAAAACAATAATTATTCTAATCGAGAAGACAAGTAAACGAAACCGCTGGTAATGTTTCTGCTGATAACGATAATCTCGCGTCCATTTAGAATGCTATAGCTTATGAGTAATAAGGATTTTCATAAGAATAATAATAATACAATATTTCCGCGATTCGTCATGCCCAGAAGAGTGCTTTGTACGAGGCGGAAAAAAAAACAATAATAAAAGAAATAAAATACCACGACCACAAAAAGCGATACAGTTATTTTATATTATTATGCCCGCTGTCCGAAACATCAAAATCAACTACACTCTTTCGTTTGTAGTCGCATATTTTTATTATTAATATATTTTACTCTTATATTATTATATTTAGATGATTATAATATGAAAACTGTGATGGTATTTATGTGGCTGATTTTGTTTTATCCGTCTTGGGTTAAGAACGAATAAAGAAAAAAAAATAACAATTTCAACAATGCAATATCATTATTTTCCTTGTGTACAAGTACATACACGAGTGCATTTGTGTGTGTGTGTGCCACGACTGCACTGCGGAAAACTTAGACAATACACTGCGGTTGCGGTGACAATGACAAATGTCTAAATCGTTGAGGAAAAATGAATAATAAAACCACCATTAGGGTCCGATCACACCGTACACACTGCAGTCTACACAAGGCGATGACGGCAATCGAACAAGTAGGGACACGTCACACGCAGCAGCTGCAACCGGCACGGTGATTAATCGTACGCGACCAAGACCGAGTGATATGATATTGTGGTAAACGTTATCATTTTTTGAAGAAGTCATTGTTTGGCGGTAAATTTTGAAATCACGTTACATGCGTATATCAATATAATATGTACAAAACAATATTGGACAGTATTTGAAATAAAAGTATTTAAATTACATGTGTTTGAAAAACTTTTCAGTATTTTGTATTTTATGTCTCAAAATAATCTTGTTTCGTTTTTGCAGTAAGTAATTGGATTTTAAGATAGAAATTGTGAAATACAATTATATCAATTATTATTTATACTGCAGTGCCAGTTTTTCTGTTACCTAAGCGTTATATTATAACTGTAGCTATATTTATTTGGGTATTACCATTGATTTTCAATTACACTAAAAATTAATTAGATAAGTTATTTGATTAAATACGTGTAAAAATATTTTGTATACTTTATTTTGTCAAATAAATACTGTATTTCGCCAATATCTGATTATTGCCTTACTAACGAAAATAATACAAAAATTAAACGTCTACGACTGCCGTTAAACCACCTATTTTATTAAGGAGTAAAGTATAGACAATTTTTCGATAAAATTAATATCAAGCTAACCATTTTTAAACACATATTAAGAAGAAGTTACACTTATACAATTCTACATGGCTTTTTCTCAACATATTTTTTATAGACTTCGAGCAATTTTATTTATTATTTTTTTATTTTTATAAATAAATTCTAATTTGGGCTACGAGAATACTAAATATTAATAAAATTTGTACAAAAACAACATGCTAAAAGAATCTGAAAAAAGTATAAAAGTTAATATACATTTTAACTATTCTTCAACTCGACTAAACTGATGTAATACAGATCAATGTTTTGGGTGACACTTATAGTTCATTTTAAATATAATTGATTGGAGCATTTATACTATAGCTCTAATAATGTAAGAGTATAAAATGTTAGAGAGGATCGCAAGGAAACGTCAGGGACATTAAAATTAATTCTAGACAGTAATTCAGGACAATCAATTAGGTTAACAATCAATTAATGGACCCACAAAATATCAGCGGCCTTCCGACGGCAGAGAGACTATATTTTAATTTATTACTAGAAACGATAAATTTCAAATCTTTAGCAGCACTTCCAGTTTTATAAGCTAATACTCTCAAAAAAACGTGATTGTATGTAGGCTTTCTAATTTGTAAATTTGAAACCAATTTTTGGCACGGTGGCCCAAATTATAAACCCATATTCTATTATTGACCGTAATACAGCTTTAAGACGTACTCGGTTCAGAATGAGTCTTTATTTCTAAATACAATTTTAAATCATTGGCAAATAGAAGACACCGAGAAAACTGGATTGCTTTACTAAGATCATTCATAAAAATAACCAACACCAAGGGAGAGAAATGGAGTTCCAGATGGAACAGTAATCAAAGGCGAAAGTGATCTATTCTCAGTTGTTGCTTCAATTTATAGATAACGGCAAATTATCAAACCGTATAATATATATAATAATTATATTATTACGAGTATGTAAAAACCGAAAATTCCGGATCCTACCTATAAACTTAATGAATTGTAAACTGGTCAAATTTGATTCTAAAGCTAATATAAACTAACCTGAAAAAAACATTGACATATTTCAATTCATTTGAATTACAATACTACTTTCATATTTTGCCATTTCCTATTAAAAATCAATCATGAGCGACTATAGTTATTATCACATGCGTTATACAATGAATACAATTGACATTTACAACGTTTTTAAATTAATTATTAACATACCTGTATACATACCTTCTTTCGTGGATAAACAACATTATATGAATATAGGTAGGTACCTAACGAGAATATATTGCTCCAGTCGAGTTGACTTCGTAAGAGTCTACGGATATCCTTGAAAGAAATATTTAGGACTTAATTGGACACTATAATTTGGTTTTTGTTACAGGAAACCGCAGATCTATGCCAATGTATGTCTATTAAGTATTAAAATAGGTACATTGTTATTGTTATCATATATTTTATTTGCACAGGAAACTCTAATAACTCGCATAGCGCATATTATGACTATTATTTATTATTACACAATAAACCGATTAATAGTGTTGGGGTATATGTGTAAAAATGTGACTTGAATTTAGTATTATTATTTAGTAGTAATGTATTTATTTTTATTAGGCTTTTAACCATAAATTTGCTTATAATTTTAAGAATTTAATTAATTAACTAAAAATAACTTGCATTTCTGCTAAACCATTTCGTGCAAACCCGTAAAAAAACCATAACACTCTCTTTCTACTATGCTTTTTAAAGCATTGTTTTAATCAGGCCGTTCTAATAGTAATTGGAACTCTGTACACGGCTTTAAAACAAAAATCTAAAATGTACGTATGATAAATACAATTCGGTACCTAAAGGTATTCTTACTATACAGTATACTAATTTACTGTACTTATAACTGCGTTCTTGTAACCCTAGCAACCGAAGTTCAATATTTAATGTGGATACTACCTGCTGTTCTGTGCACAGTAAACATAAGTATTGACAAATAAACATAATATGTTTGAAATGAAAACTGATAAGTGATTAATAACATAATATAAACAAAAGCGAACCATAATGGGAGTGAGTTACATACTTATTTTATACTCAGTAAAGTGATAAAGTTTTGGTTAGATTCTAAAAAGTTGGATACATTTTTTTTATAGGATTTGAAGGCAACCACAATAAAGGACGCGATAAAAAAGTGGGAAGATGACAACAAGGAATCAGCAACAGAAGCCAAATCGATCGGTCTGCAATTTCAGTGGCCACCCATTGAAAAAATGGACAGTAGCTTGTCGGTTTTAGTTAACTGCGAGTAAGCATTTATCTTCTTGATGCTAATTTTTATAACACTAAAACCATTATGCACAATGATGACGTGTCTTTAGAAAATTATCACTGAGTACGAACATGATTGAGAAAATAAACGGGTTATCGGCTCTGCGAAATCTAAAAATTCTATCCCTCGGCCGCAACTACATTAAGGCTTTCACCGGATTAGAATCGTTGGCTGACACATTGGAAGAACTGTGGATATCGTATAACTTCATAGAGAAAATGAAAGGCATTTTAGGCATGCGCAAGCTTAAAGTCCTGTACATGTCCAACAATAGCGTCAAAGAATGGGCCGAAGTAAATAAACTTGCCGAAATGGAAAGCCTTCAAGACTTGTTATTTGTCGGTATGTGACAGCTTTGTAGTATTTATTTTGAATTATTATTGTCGTTATAATGTTAATTTAAGTATTATGATTGTTTTACTTACAGGAAATCCTCTTTTTGAAGCATTAGACGAAAGCGTATGGCGCAGTGAATGTATTAGAAAGCTCCCTAAATTAGTCATATTAGACGGTTTACCAGTAATAAGAGAATGAATCACTTAGAAAAAAAAAATCAAAAAGAATCTCAATTTTCAACTGGATCCATTGAAACGCAAGCTAATGAACCATGTAACTAAAAAGTTAAAAACTACAACGAGGTAATAATAATGATAAAAATTGTCAACGACTTAAATTATTGAAAATGTGCTAGCAGTTGTAAAAAATACACAGACATCATGTTTTTATTAATATCAAAAGAAACCCGGCATGTATACTTGTATTATAATAAGGTAAATTTTGTACCTAAACAATAGAAGTTGGTTTGTAATTTTTTTTTTAAATATAATGTTTTGTTATTTTATTATTATTTTTTAAAGTTTATACATTTAAAAAAAAAATCATGATTAGGTACGGATAAAACTATAATAATATCGTTCCATAGATATTATTAATGATTAATCATAATCGCAATTTATGATTCATTTAAACAAACTTTGGCAAACAAGAAATTTAAAGAAGCTAATGAATTCCGTGAACTATAACGTAACACTCAAAAGACAACATAAGAAGGTACATTCGATTTGTTAAAAGCAGTACTATACGTAAGCCTACCAGAAACAAAGCAGGTTTTATTATTATATAGGTATTAGTTTAGATTATTATGTAACATATCCCAGTAAACATTAGTCATGAATAAACCTTCAAAAACACATATTTGTTGTATTTTAATAAATACATGTACCCAAAATAGGCTTATTATATACGTGGGTCGATAGATGCAAGATAAAAAGGTATTATTAGATAAACATATAATAATTATCATATTATGCATAAAATTTAATACAAGATAATATATTCAATTACGAGATATTTATAATGAACTAACTTTGGTCAATATCAACATGGTAATATCAAAAACAGTTATATATTATACAAAATTAGTTAATAAGTATTTATTCACGGCCAAATGGGGCATTTCTGGATATTAACTTATTTGGAACTATAATGCTTTCTGGATCAATGCGTGAAACAATGGTTAGTGAGTCAAGTCAGAATACATTTTGAAGGCTAATCATCACTTCATATAATAATTATATAAATTAATAATTATTAAATACATAATAGCAATGACAATAATAAATACAAAATATTCAATCGTTGGATCAACATTGACGGTAATTGGGTAATTAGTACCTGATAGCATTACAGGACATGGAATACATTTATTCTGTGATAAGTATACGGTATTGTGTTAACCGTGACAGCTTTGAAACAGGTATGTCAGCAACCAGCGCTCAACATTTTCACAACATGGCTGCTGGTGATTTCCCGTTACGAATACACAGCCGCCCGGGAACGCTGTCGGCCATTTCTTGGTCACCACTTACCACTGAATTACCTAATTTTTTCGGTCATGGTGATAACCTCAAGGGATGCACAATAATATGTATGGCTCGAGGTGAATTTATAACCGCCTTTGCAATGCTGAATGCTTTATAGAAGTACAGGACATTTTCTGTTTAGCGGCAATGGTCTTATCATTATTGACTGGTGCGGTGACTTTCTTGTTGATGTTTACGATTTTAATGCTCTACCATTAAGATTTGATATTTAGTATTTAGTATTTTTTGACGTCTTACGTCCTTGTTACGGCTACAGGTAAGGAACTTTTTATAATAATTTCCCCCCCCCCCCATTTTTAACTTTAGGACATAGTTTTAATGTTTTTTTTTCATATGATTATAATAAGTCAATAGTTCAGGCATTAGTTCTGTAAATAGTTTTGACGGTACGATACGATTCCAAATCAAATAAAATATATTTCCATTTACAAGGAAAATTAAATAAAATTGTTCAAGCAAGATATTTGAAAATGTATTGTTCCATATCATGTAGTTATTTAATAAACTTCTATATCCTCGACATCAAACTATAGACGTTTTTGCTTCTAATATTTGTACACAATGTGTTGGAGGCTATTAAGAATATACTGCGATTCATCACTTAATTTCTGAAAAATGTGCACTTACTACATCTGTGCACTAGAATGCCAAATCATTATCATTACTATATTTAGATAATATTAAATCCAATCTTCTGTCTTCATTTTCACGTTTTAATGTTAAATTATTTGAAAACACTAGGTGCAAACAATTTTGATTTCCTATAAAATTAAAAAAGCAATAATAATGCTCGTAAAAACAAACACAGGTGTCTCAAGGTGTTGTGATGGGAGTAAAATCTATAAAAGAGAGTTAAGTGCCAGAAGAACAAATATTACTTATTTTATAAAATTATTTATGATTTTTGTTTAGCATGAATGAAGACTCTGAAACCGAAACTGTGATGAAATTTGTGCAAGACTTTTTTGCTAGTTATGATAAAAACCGGCATATATTACATACTTTGTTTCCCGAGGACGGCACGTTTATTGTACTCGGAAATAGGATGTGTGGTCAATCAGCTATTCAACAGGCCATGCTGACCATGGCAACGACAACACATCAGCTTATGTCAATCGACATTCAAAATCTTGCACTTCCTTTGGAGGAATCTGTTTCCATGTATCAAGTACTCTGTGCGGGCGAAGTGGAGTTTGGAAACGATACACAATTACACGGCTTTACCGCTTCTCTTTTAGTATATTTTCGACGACCAAACATTTTAAATGTTGTATCATTTAACGAAAGATGTCAATGGCCTAAGTTGTCATAAACTTGCTTATTAAACTACTATTTATTTTAATTCAATTTGTTTTGTTGTAAATATTATTCTGCATGTTGCGATTTTATCTAAACGATTTTAATTTTTGTGTCATTTAACAAACGATGTCAATGGCCTAAATTGACATAAAACTTTTTAACTAACTACTATTTATTTTAATTCAATTTGTTTTGTTGTAAATAATATTCTGCACGTTGCGGTTTTATCTAAAGGATTGTAAATGTTACATGTTCTTTTTTAAAAATATTTTTATTAATTGTACAATTTGTCACTTTATTAATAATTACATTATTTTAGAAATTTTATTATTATTGTTTTATATAAAGTATAATATTCTATTTTTACCAATGTACGTCGATCCAATAATGTAGTATCCACTTATATGACGTGTAGCATCTATTCAAATGTTTTTGACTTATAATTAGGGATTAATCTTACAAAATAAAAGGTACTGGCTACAAATTTGTTTTTATTTTGTTATAAAATAATTTCAAACTACACTTGGAAACACAATTATACTACACAAATGAACACATAGAATACAATATAATTGAATAGAGGTTTTTAAATCAGGAAAAAAACCAATGGATTCTGCTTCTATTCCTAGGTGGCTACGGCTGGCGAGAGATGTTATCTTTCGGAAAACTCCTTGGCAAACGGGTAACAATATTAATCTATAAAAACCGTTTACAGTGTTATTAGATTTATTGTAATATTGTTTAAATTTTGCACTAAATTAAGCGTCTTTATAAATGAAGACAATTTATATCATATTAATTTGTTCGTTACCGTAGTTAACATTATTTTAGGATTTGTATCATTTGGGCTTGGTGACTTGACAGCTCAAATGTATATAGAAGACACCAAACTGGATAAGGTCGATTGGGTGCGAACATTTCGATTCGCCACTGTAGGGTTATTTGTCGTGAGTGTATAACCATTAATTATAACATCCAATCAATATTTTTGAATCTATTTAAAAAAAATATGGTTGGCCAAAATGCGTCAAATTTCATTAAAATGTAGAAAATGACAGTTTAGCCTATTCCAGTTGGCAAAATAATTAAAATAAATGTTTATTTTATAACCATTGGCCAGAAATTGAATGTCTTATAAATATTGTTTATTATGTAAAGAATTTTCTCAAAGTATTACATTATTGGTCAAAAAATAATACTTATATTATTAAAAAAAAAAAAAAATTTTTAGCCGACTGAATTTAAGTTTTTTGGATATAAAATAATATACACAATTTTGGTAGACAATCTTTTCCTACCTTTGATCATGTTTTATAGGGACCAAGGGTACAGCGTTTTACAACTCATAGTGTACTGATGAAATTCGGCAAAGCCAGATGTCCAAACACTCCAGTGAACATCGCGGTTGATAAAATTTTGCTTGCTCCATTTGCGAATGCAGGCATTGTTGCCTATAGTCGGATAATTAGCGGAGATGATTGGCCTCAAGCCAGAAAAAAAGCCGAAGAATGCTGCATCCCCATTACTGTCAACAGCTTTATGGTAATGAAAATTTTGTTTGTGTAAATATTCTATACAAAACATTTCTATGCTCGGTTCGGGCAATATTATTACATCAAACCTCTGTAGGATCTAGTGAATTTTAAAAATTCTTAAAATAGTTGTTCTAATGAGTTTGGTTTTAAGTCTGTACTCGGTTTTATATTCAGGTATGGCCAGCAATGCAAATGATCAATCATTTCATAGTACCAGCCAAATACAGTGAATTTGTAGCGACTTTAGTTAGTGTATTTTGGAACGCATATTTGTCAAACGTGATTGTCGGTAAAGGAAAAGCAGAAATTTTCGATCCAAGAAAATATTTTGAATCTGGAGATAAAAAACCTAAGAAAAAAAAATAAACCACAACAAACAACTTTATCGCGTTACAGTTACCTAATTAATTTAAAAAAATGTTAAGCTACACGAGTAAACACACATTGGAATGAGCTCTTTTAAAATTTTATAGTGAAATCACATGTTTTAGCTTATGATGCTTTTAATGAAGGAATTTACGCTTTAAATTTATATAGTTAACATATTTTAGACATATTATCATGTTATACACTCATATTGTATTTTAGAAACATTTCTTCTTAGTTTGTGTTGCCTATAATTATTGATATTGATGGGTTATTATTAAATACCAACTATAATATTAATCATCATCCATTATTACCATTAGATAAACTATCAATTTTAGGGTTTTACATATAAATTAATAAATAACAACAATAAGTTTATGTATAATATACACAAAAATTTATTTTATAAAAAAAAATAGGAAGGAAAACAAAGAGTCTATTCGAACAGACCTGAAACACACAAATAAAAATGTATTATTAATAAACAATTCATTAATTAGTATAAAACAGCACTTGGTATCAAAATTTAATGGCTCAATTTTATGTATAAAAAACTTAGGCAACTTAAAAGAATGAAATATTTTAACCCTTAACCAGAAAAATAATACTCTATAGCGTAAATATATATATATTATGGCAGCAATATCCTGCACATACAACAAATCTTTGGGGTTAAAAATTAAATTAAATATTTATTTTTTGTGGTGTGGCCTATTACTAAATTTTCCAAAGATGTAATGCTCGTTTTTAAATTTTTTGCTATGTTGATAATATAAATTCATATATATATATATATATTCGTTTTTAGACATAGTATTTATTTATTGTCTTAATTCCTTCTCAGCACACTTGCAAAATTTAAGTAATAAAACTAAATAATGCAACTTTTTCAAATTAAGTGTTACAACCAGCAAACAAATTATAAATAAAATAAATTAACTGGTTGTAACTAATTATGAACCTTTAATTATGTCTTACAAAACTTCCTCAATTTCACAAATACTTTTAATTATATTAGAAAAAAAATATTTACCGAAGCCCATGTCATCATCATCTTCTTCTTCTTCGCTTTCTTCTTTCTTTTTATCTTCTTTCTTTTCTTCCTTAGCGCCCTCCGAAGCTGCGACCGCTAAAAATTAAAGTTAAAACATTAATTTGCAATAAAACTCAGTTTTAAACAAACTAAATTAATTAAATACCAAATATTTGATTTAACACAAAATAAATAAATAGTTTACAAACAGAAATTTGATATAATAGTTATATTACCTGCACCACCAGCAGCCGGAGCAGCTCCTACAGCTGATCCTATATTCGTGATCAAGTCCTTGACATTGGCGGTTTCCAATGCCTTGGCGAACAAGCCTGGCCAGTATGGCTCAACTTCAATGTTGGCTGCCTTGAGGATGGTCTGAATTTTTTCAGCCTAAAAGCAAATCAAATATATTATTAGTTACAGCAAATGTGACAATTTAACTTCCCAACAAAATGTTAGATTGTAATTATTATAAAATTTGCAAGGTGTAAATGAACAAAAATACATTTTTTTTAAATCAATGTCACTAGAAAGTACTCAGAGCTGATAAGTATTTCAAGCATATGTTGAGTTATGTTAACACAAAAAACAAAACAACAATAAAACTGAGTTTTGAACAAAGTAGCATATTAATTGTAAAGCCAAACAAGAGATAAATAAATAATTTATAAAAAGAATACTGAACGCAAAATATTGTAAGTTAAATTTTTAATTAGAAATAATGATAAGGATTATGAGGTTTTTTTTATACTGTTAACATTATTTTTTAACACTAACTTAAATTAAATATAGTTTTAAGCGTCGATGTTAGATGTACTGTTGTATTATTTATATCACTAAATAATTGATAGAGCCAAAATAGTGATAAAATACAATATTTTAAATTGTCAAATTTGTTTTAAATTAAAAATTCAAGCATCAGATTTTATTTTTTAACTAGTGATTCATGATATAGATTAAAGTACATTGATAAGTGTTGAATCATAATATGTTTTAATATCAATGTTGTATAATGGATTGATAAATACAAACGAAACAACGTTTTATAATAATAAAATATGATACTGTTTTTCATAAATATAAATTAGCAGTTTATGCAAAACATTAAACAAAGTACAGGATAAGGTACGTGTGGATATTTGTTTATTATTTTATTATACTTAGTTGAGTGCATGCTTGCCTCTGTACATTTATGAAAAGGGTGTGAAAAACTGGGTACGCAATATTGCAATCTCAAATCAGTGATACATTTGCACTACTATTCTAAAATTACAAATTATGAAGTTAATAGGTATTGAATATATCCATAGAAGTAAGTTGGACTGCGTAAAATGTGCAATTTGATTATGCTATTTATTCAAGTCCTTAGATTTACACATCAAAATAGTTTGTGTGGTTAAGCTGAATGTGTAAACAACCCTTAGCTCTACATTATTTTGATAGCATTTAAAAGTTTCAAAAGTTGATAAAAAAAAGAAAAACATTAAAATTTAGTCAATATAAATATTATTAACAACACGATACCTAATTATAAATAGGCATCAAAGTAGCTCAAGAGTGTTGTAGTGATATTTTAAATTGAATTGAATGATATAAATTTAATAGTAGATCAACGCTAGACTAATTATTTGATATTCCAGAATGATCTACGTAATAAATATTTGTTCTGTAGCGAACTTAAGTTTACTTTTAACGTTCAAACGGGTCTAACAATTTACAATCTAGTGGAATCGAGCTAATTACAAAAGAAAATAAATAATAAGTTTATATTTTTTAATAAACGTCGAAAATAATTTTAAGGGTAAAAGCTAAAAGCCAACACGTGGCTTTTGTAAATACTGTGTTGGATGAAAAAATTGTTTGGACTGGCTTGACAGCTCTTTGACGTTTTTTTTCCGAGACTCACAATAAACTCTAAAGATTTCGTTGGAAATTAACTTGCGATACTCTAATTGGGATAATCGAATGGAGACGACAACCGGGTTAGGCCGTCTACCGGTGTGTTCATTTTTGGGGGGTTGATAAAATATTAATTATGAGTGTAAAATATTTACCGTCACGTTGATGTCGTCGTCGGTCAAGATGAGTGCCGAGTAGACGCAAGCTAGTTCAGGTTTGGAGATAGCCATTCCGGATGGATTCGGATGAAAATTGTGTTTAACAAAATTACTGTTATGGCCAACTTCGGCGTTAGGAAAAAAGTGTAGTGGCCTGGGCACCGAAGACTCGACAATATTCACGATACGGTGGGCACAAGACAGTTATGGGGTGACGGAGGGGAAGAGGTGAACGCCGCTTCAGTGCTGCCAACAAATATTTTCGTACGATGATGTTTACAAGTAAACCCAACCTCTAAGTTTGATATAAAAAAATTAATATTCGTGTTATACGAACAGCCCATACGAAAATATCGAAATAAAAAATTTAAATTTGCCCAATTTCGTTTTTATCGTCTAGTTAAGATTGTTACAAGCCTTTGGAAAAAATTGTTTAATAATTTTATCATTTATGACTGCTACTGGCGAATCACGGTTATCAGGATGTTACCACAGAATAACTATTCTATGATAAAAACCGCCAACTACGTTATCACAGCATATTATAAACAAACGTGGTGATAACGTGATAGAAATTTGGCTTATGATGTGCTCGTTCTGAAGAAAATCCAACTATACTTATTATATTACATATTATTGTATTATGTTAACTGTTTTTGGAATTTGAATTATTTGTTAACTGGTATTGTCACGCAAATGGGTGACATCGTAGAGGAAGATTGGAACTTGCCGCCGTGCAAGTATGAATGTAAGACTTGTAAAACAAAATTTTAGGTATACAAATATACAGTGGCGGATTTAAAAAAATTCTTCAAAGTTTGGTATAAATTTTAGTTATCAGGACACATTTTTGTTTAGCGATTTTGCGACATTATAGTGTTTTAATGCAGATTACGAAGCTGAATTTGGAAAGCTACAGTCTTCTAGTTAAAAAGTTATAGCTACTTGAACTATAGGAATTTCCATTGAGCAAGTATGCATTGCATGAGACCGCTGTAGCATTCGTAACACTGTCCACCAGTCTCAGCGTGTTGCGGTCATTGATTTTTGTTATAAAAGTATGGGTGAATAATCATTATTATAATGTTTCAAATAAAACTCGTAATTATGATTTTTAGAACTATATGTAATCTCTATTAAAACGTTATATATATAAAAAAAAAAATTATCACAAAAATCGAGTGAATAAAGATGTTGCTTCCTTGACTGCCGCATTTGTCTTGCGCACTTTGTACTCGCATAGTTGCACAATGGTAATTTAAAATTTATTAGTAGCTAGGACTTAATACCTAGAAGAGTTTACATATTTCTAACTTTTGATTCTTAATTGGTATAAAAAAAAGCAAACTTTTTATAATTTAAATGTCATAAGAGGAGTTATTCAATAAAATTAAAATTAAATATTTTATCGTTATTTTACAGATTTGGATCATACAGCTGATGTTCAGTGAGTAACTATTGTTTAAAATTTTCTGTTTAAAATTACCATCACTATGGGATTTATTTAAACCAACAATTTGGATTTCTTTTAAATTCATATAAAGGGCACAGTGGAAAAACAAAGTTTGTGAATTCCTCTCCCTCTTACATAAGAACAGAAAAAATCACATTAAATGCTACTCTAATAATAAATGTATTTTTTTAAACAATCTATTGACATGAATAAGAAAAATTAATGACATAAATTGAAAAAAACTATTTAAAAAAAAAAAATGTATTATGCGACTACTATTGTTTTTCCCCTGTGCCCTTCATATGTACTTATAAACACTGAAGTTTTACATTTTTTATAAGTTGATTTAATTTGAGATTTTGACTCCTCATTAAATCGGTCATTCCTTTTTCTTACTTCTTCTCCTCTCTATTGAGAGAACACCACTCGTTCATTATTTAAGGCGTATGTCATTTTTTTCAAGCTTTATGCAACTTACAGCATTTTAGCATAGGAGGGCAATAGATCACTTAACATTTTAAAAATTACATTTAATTTGTAATCCATTATATTATCGTTATAACCAGTGGCGTAGACAGGAATTTTTTATGGGGAGGAGGGGGGTTCATGGTTGGAAAAAAAAACTCATTAAATTAATTTCACTTATAACAAAATTTGTATTTTTCTTGGCTTACTTGCTAATTCATCCAATACTTTTTCAGGTATTGCAAAAAAAAAACACTAAGTTGATTTTACTTTTTAACACTTATAAGTTATAACAAAATATCTAATTTTCTTGGCTTTTTGGCAAATTCATCTGGATAATAGATTAGAAGAACTAAGCCATTTAGACGATCCTGTTTAAAATAAGTTAGATGATTAAAATACAATTAAAAATTGTATATGATTATAATTTACCTCTTTCATAGTATTTCTAAGGTATGTTTTTATTCTTTGAACAATTGTAATTTTTATATTGATAACTGTTATGTGATAACAATAAAACAACTAACGGTATTATACAATTTATGATATGGTCCTATTTTAAAATCTTCTACTAAAAGTTTATTAATGGTAGCTGTTTAATTATAAGGCGTACATGACTATTAATACTTTTCTACAAAATAACTAAATTATATAAAAAAAAATTAATTATTATTTTTCTTACAGATTGCACGCATGGGGTGTCACATTGATTGAAGCTTTTGAACAGTGTGCTAATGCTATGTTTCATTATATGACCGAAGTTGAATACATAGAGATGAAAGAGACTTTTGAAATAGAAGCTAGTGGCCACGATATGATGACACTTTTGTATAATTTTCTTGATGAACTACTATTTATATTTAGTGCAGAGCCCTTTTATATAGCCAGAGTAAGTTATTACGTTTAATCATTTAAAATTTTAATTGGAAGTTTATGTAGCAACAAATTTTGTTACGTACAGAAAGTGGAAATACTCGAATTTGACAGAACTGAATTTAAAATTAAAGCAAAAGGTTTTGGAGAAGAATTTCAACTCGGTAAACATCCCCAAGGAACGGAAGTTAAAGCGATCACATTTTCTAATATGCAAATACACGAAAGTGAAGGAAACTGTGAAGTATTTGTTATTTTGGATATTTAAATATAATTATTGTTTTGGTTTAAATGAAACTCTATTTTTATTTAAAGGCATAACTAGGAAATATAAAATTGTCGTTTAACATTATGTTTAAATAATTTCCGTCCAAAATCTCGACATACCATTATCCTGAAAAATCAATTACTCGACCACTCTTTTCTAGATAAAAATTCTAAATATAATGTAAAGCGATAATTTCCTATTTGACTAGTAATGCGTTATACTATTCCGTTAAATGTTTTCTCCTTAAACTGGTTAAAATCTATTCCAGTAAAATTAAATATTCATAATTAAAAAAAATAATAATATGTGATATGTTAAACAAATACAATTATTTTCATGGAATAAATATTGTGTTTAAATAGATAAACATAATCATACGTTTTAAATTCTGAACAACTTGTCGATGGTTGCTATTTTTTTTTGGAGTGTATTGAAAACAGGGAAAAAGTCGAGAAATGATTCACAAATCTGCGTGGGTAAGCTGAAACGAATATTGTACTATCACTTTTAAATCAATTACCAAATATGAGTTTTGTGGAAGCATTAATAATGTTCTAGAAATTTTGTGTTATTTATTGTTAAAAAAAATGATCAATAATTGTTATATTTTATACTATTTATTTAAAATTAAAATTAAATTTATATCATTTAAAATTACATTTAAAAAAAGTTTTCTTAATGTTTTCTTTTTCTTTGGCAATTTGTTTTATGTTGTTGACTTTGGTTATCGCTTTTACTTTAAATACCTATTAATAGTATACATATTTTCGTTTTTTGTTTGTCTTTATTATTGATAAATAAATATGAATTTTATTATTATATATAACAACATACTAATTTCTACATTTTTTTTTAAACAGTCATTAAAAATTGTTGACAATAATGTCAACTATTAACATGTCATAGAAATAAGAAAAACTTTAGGTAATTGGTAGGCGGTTACTTTAATACGTATTATTATGGATTATAGTTCTGTTATGGAATATATTAACTTGTGCAAGCCAGTAAATAAAAAAAAATAAACTGTAACTTCTGATGTACGAAATGTATCTAATGTTGAAAAAATGTTTTGAACTGTATATGATTGATAGTAAACAATTTGTTTGGTATGTTAAGCGGTACTCAGTAGTGTGTAAATTGTTAAAAGTATTAAGTTCGATTACAATAGTTAAGAAATGTTCTAAGGAAGTAATATTTTGTTCTAGGGAATATTTCTCTAATTAAATATCATACAACTATTAATAGTAGTTTTGGACACATTCATTTTTTAATTTATATACATTTTCTAGTTTAAAATTTAATTTAATTTCTAAATGGTTACCAAAGTACATTTGTGTTATATGATAAAACTTGTTTGTAAAATTCAATGTGGTTTATGTATGTATATTTGAATTCTAATTAAATCTTTAATTTCGTCATGATCATTGTAGTTAATATCAAGTAATTTTCTCAATTCACATAATATGTTAACATTAGTCTTTTGTTCTTTAATACTATTGTCATAACTATTGTAGATTTTTATTTTCTGTATTTAAACATGTTTTATAGCACTAGTAACACTTTTAAACAATCTCAAACAATTGGTTTTAGGGTAGGTGTCGACGAGGGCAGCAGCATATAGCGAAATACACCATTCAAAACTAGTATGAATAAAAGCCCCAAAATAAGTTACTTTTGATATAATTCAAAAAAATATTGCGAATTCAAGTATTATTTATGTTATAATATAATAATATATTAATTTATATTGTACCTATATAATTAGGTATATTATTACATAATAAACTAACAAACATTAACCACGATACTTATTTAGAGTACCTAACGTCTAAAAAAAAGTGTTGTTAAGTAGATTAGGTATGCGGGTGTTAACACATACCTATCTAACAAATTGTTATTGGATTGAACTCTGAAAATCGCCATCTGTTGGCGTTGCTAAACGGTTTGTATTGTAAACATTTAATATGTTTCAATATTATGAAAACAAATCTTAAATAATTTTAAAATAGCAAATAATTATGAATATAGCCGGAGCAGCTAAATTGAATACACGGATTTATCAGTGTAAGTATAGAGTTTAAATTAATTTTTATAACCGTTTAGAATAATGTACTGGTAGGTACTGATATTGTCGCTAACATATTAGGTAATTTATGTGTTGTAAAAGTATATGACAAGCTTATACTGATAATGATTTGGAGTAACGCTTACAAACCTTTAATCAAATAATGTTGACCAGTATTTATCGTATTTTCTAGTTTAAAGAGACTTGCCATAAACTAAGCGTTGTAATAATATAAAAAAAAATATATATAAACCCTAACTTGGATTTAGGTAGATAGGTGTAAAACAAAACATATCAAACGTTATTTGTCGTTTTCAGATGTTTACAGAAGTACAGTCTTTAATACTTATAGATGCTCGCCGTCTTCACATTATGTCAGACACTGGTCGTGCTCAAATAGTGCATTATACTCCAATAGAATTCTTTACCGGCATCACATAAAGCCGCCTGTCAACATTTTATTTTTGGATTCATGTGCCCGTCCACTGTGCACGACTCCATACAGGTGGTCGGACAAACCGACGTCCAAAATAGAAGAGACTGTGAATATTGTAAATCAGAAAACTCAAAAGAAAAACGAAACGCAAACCGCATTGCAAAAACCCAAACCGCCGTTAAAACAAAGGGTAATCGACGAACTCAAGCACTACTATCACGGTTTTAAACTGCTGGGACTGAACATTAAAATTTCGTCGAGTTTAACCGTGAAGAAGATAAAAGGTCAAGAGCTCACGCGAAGAGAACACAATTTAGTGAGTAAATCAAATTAGTGGTCCCCAATCACAAACCTAAGTAGCCTCAGTGAAATGTATGGTTAACACAGCGATAGACTTAACTAAATAAAACGATTTTTAAACTAGTCGGGTCAATTCAAGTCAAATTCAAAGAATTGCAGACTCTCCCTCAATTGTTACTAATACCTATCTTCGTGTTAATATTACTTACGCACTATTATGTTTAAAAAAGTGTTTATATTATTTATATAGTTAGTGCAAACCATGGCCGATCTTTTTCGCCTTGTACCTTTCTCCGTGTTTATCGTCGTGCCGTTCCTCGAATTTACATTACCCATTTTCATTAAGCTCTTTCCGGGTATGTTGCCAACTACGTTCCAGACAGATCAGGACCAGGTATAACCTTTAGGAGGATCCTTGCAACTCTGCAGTATCAACAGCTAATGTGCGTGTGTGTGTGTACCTACACAGGAAACAAAACTCAAACAGTCTCTCAAGGTGAAGCTAGAGATGGCTAAATTCTTGCAGGAGACTCTCAACAGCATGTGCGTGGCCAGAAAGAGCTATACGTGCGAAAACGCTAAGGAATTCGCCGATTTCTTTGCCAAGGCAACATATAATATTATTACTATAACTTATCTTACAGAATATTAGGTGTTTACAAACCGAAGCCGGATCTTGGTGTCGTGAATTTAGACTTATTAACTCATGGACGGCGTTTTCCTAATCCTTATCCCTCTTTTTTGTCACATACTATGAAGTGAGGATTTTTGTGTACCTAACACAAAACTATGGTAAAGTTTTATGAGAATAATACTTTCTCTCTATATCTCTTATTCGATATAGACTTTCGTTTTCTCTCTCTCTCTCTCTACTATCCGTCGAGTTATTAATTACGAGATAAGTTCCTTTTTTACATTTTTAATCTTCTTTTATCGAGTGTGTATACATTCGAGGGTCGTTCTAAAAGCGACTCCGCTATGCAGGTCAGGCAAAAAGGAGTGGTCATACCGGCCGAAGACATTCTCAAGTTTTCCAAGTTGTTCAAAGACGACATTACTTTAGATTCGCTCGGCCGACCACAGCTGGTGGCCTTGTGCCGTGTCCTCGACATCCGACCAATTGGAACTTCAAACGTTTTAATATGGCGAATAAAACTGAAACTCAGGTCGCTGGCGATCGACGATAAGGTGACAAGGATACATACACCAGCTGCAGGTGCCGGTTGCAGGGTTTAACGTGGGTTTCTTACGAATTCGCAGGTGATCCAAAAAGAAGGCGTGAACTCTCTGTCGCTGGCCGAACTCCAACAAGCGTGCAAGGCTCGCGGTATGCGCGCTTATGGTTTAGCCGAAAAACGGTTACGGCAACAGCTGACACAATGGTTGGACTTGTCGTTGAACGAGAAAGTGCCCCCGTCGTTGTTAATCATGAGCAGCGCGTTCGGCTTTACCGAAAACATTCCCACCAGCGATTTGCTGGTCAAAGCTATTTCGTCTTTGCCCGACTCGGTGGGCGTGTCGACCGAAGCGGATTTGGGAGAGCGCGTAGGCGCCATCGACAACAAAGCCAAACTGGAAGCTACCAAAATGGAAAAACAGAAATGCGAAGAAGAAAGAAAAGAACGTATTGAAGAGTCTAAAGCTGGCTGCGGGTTCACGCCGTCTGCTTCTTGTGGGAAATCCAACGAGGTGGGCGATGGGCGCAACGGCGTTTGTTTTAGACTTCTGACCGATTTTTGTTTCATTCCTAGGGAGTGTCGACGAAGGACTTGAAGACCCTGGAGTGTGCGATCGAAAACTTGGATCAGAAAAAGCTAATCGTCGAAAAAGAAGAAATCAAAGAACTCAAAGGCGAACTCAAATGCTATCAAAAAGTAACACATTGCACTTTTTACAGAGTTGGTAAAAATTTAGCGAAGACGTTATGGGTATAATTTTCCGGGCTAAAACAAAAATAAAACCACTCGGTGTTTTTGGGCTTGTGTGTTTTGCTGCCAACTCTGACTGCATGATAATTGTGCGTGATTCGGATGGAGCGCATGACTATTGTTTATGTCACAGGACGTCATGAAAACCGAGAAGGAAGAAAAAGTCAGCGAGTCCAAAGCGGCCAAACGTCTGTTCAAGCAAGTGAACAACATGATTACGAACATGGATTTGGCCGTAAAGGAGCTGGAGGAAAAAGAGAAGCAAATTAAAAAGGACATCAAAACGAACGAATCGGCCGAGGGCAACACCGAAAAAGACAGGTTAGAATAACACTACCAAAAAAAATCACTGTATAAGCCGTCAGGGATTCAGAAACATGGCAATGCACAAAGCAGCGCCACCGGAAATTTCACAAATTTCGGTCTTATGATGAACTAGTGTGCTCGTACTAGTGTATAATATTTACTGTGTTTAAATAATAGAACAACTATTAATATGACGTTTGTTATACATTATATAATGACGTATGACAGTGAACTAATCAAGATAGACGAAATCATAGGAGCGGTAAAAAAGCTGCAGAGCGTACCTGACGAACACAGATTGCAAAAAATCAGTCAAGTCCTGAGTAAATTAGACATTGATAAAGATGGTTCCATACCGTTGGACACTGTATTAAAGGTAACTACTTTAAAAATTTATGTTTTTTTTATAGAAATCTTATTAGAAATTGCCAAAACAGCTTAAGACTTTGAAACACAAAATTTAACAAAACATAACCCCGAGTAATTTATCTTCCTCTTTTTTTTTAATAGTGGTTTGTAAGAGTAACCACTTTTAATGTAACTACTAGATGGCGTGAGATATTACTTAATACAACTATAATATTATATGAGATTTTGTAAAAAAAAAAACAACATTTAATTTTTAATGTTGGTCTGTGCCCTGTGTTGTAAAGAGTTAACTGGGTTTATGCTAAGTTTGGTAGGCTCTACATACAAAACATGTTAATTTTATTTGGCGAATAATCCCTAACATTTTAATATATTGGACATTAATCATTTTTGCCGTTTGTCTATTATTTTTTAAGGTGCTTCAGTTAATTGGAACGGAAAACGTTAAGTTGTCACCCAAAGAAATGGAAATGATCACCCAATTAGTCACCAAAGAAAAAGAAATGAATGACAAAACAAACGATGAAAGTAAAAACAAATAAATGTAATGTCGCTGACCTTAAATCGGACACAAAAACGACAGTCCAGCAAATGGGTTTGTTCAGGACAAAAAAAAACTTTAACCAGAAATAAATTTCCTTTTTAAATTGTCAACAAAATTATGTTAATGTAGTTCAACTTACAATCTCAACAAAAAGGATTACTGTAGTAATTAAAAGTATTACTAAGTGCTTTTGGGCAGACCATTTCGCTACATATTTGACTTATAATATACATACTTAGGTAAGTAACTAGTAGGTGTATTTTATATTCAGTTGACCAAACTACTATGATTTTAATACATTGGTAGAGGTTTTGTGCACATGTTTAGTTTAAATAAATGTTTTATTAGTAAATATTCAAAGGTAGGTCATCAAATATCGTTGCAATTTAACACAATGCAGGTACCTTTGTTTCGGTTTAAATACTTACATCCGGTGAGAGTCTGCTTGTGCATTGCTTCGTGTATTCAGCCACAGACAAAAAAAAAATAACAGATTATCAAAAATTTTAAATAAGGTAATTCATTTTTTGTACTCAGTGAATGTTAGCTAAATATCTAATAAGTTAAGGATATAAAAAATACTACTTTAACAAAAAAAAAAACAAATTTTGATTTTATAAATAACAACTGGTATTTTAATATATTTATAAATTGTCCTAATTTAGAAATAACTACAAAATGGCTATTACTATTTGAATAAGTATTTATTGTTTTTATCTCAACAGTCTTTGTTTTTTATTAAACGACGAAATTTCATGAAAATAAATATAAAATTTGCCTTTATAATATATTTACAGCACAGCGGTAAGATATATAACAACTAGAATTAATAAAATAGCACTCTTGACTCTTCGGAATACTTGGAGAGTGTATTATATTTAAATAAAATGTTAATTTTCCATAAACAAGACAATATTTTACATATTATTATTATTAATATAATTGTTTATTATATTATTATATTATTAATAGTATATTTGTTAAAATCGAATATTGGATTCAAGTTGGGTTAGTCAGAAACGTATGGACGTGTAGCTCTATTGACTTCCCGGAGAGTCGTGAGACGTAGACATGATAATGATATTTGCTGGGAAAACAAAAATTTTCTAATTTGTTTAGATATGTTTTGTTACACTCTTAGATTTCCAACTGCAGTGTTAATTATAAAGAAAGAAGTACAATAATCGGTAGTTACCACACCGTTACTTCAAGGTTTCTTACGATACAGTAGACACACGGCATAATGATATTGTACTGAATGATGGTTCATCTCTTTAAGTAACTAAATATACAAATATTGTGTCCGTGACAACTTGATAACGTTAGTGTCAAATGTAGGATTTTCGATTTCTCGGTTTCAGACTGAGTCTGATGCCGTTTTTGGGGACCAGCACCGTGTTGGGCACCACCACCATACTTTCCCTGGGATCTTTGGACACGACCACAAAATTCCTGACCACGGCCGAAATGACCGTCTTCTCGGCTAGCACGGCGAATTTTTTACCTATAGAAAAAAAGGAATCTATAATCTGTTCATTCAAATTTTGTATTTGCCAAACAACAGTAAAACTCTAGGAAAACATATTATTTAGTTTTTATTTCCAAGTGGATTGGAAACTTTTATATATTTTTATTTTTTAGAAAAGTAAGGTCTAAAAAACAGACTGAATATAAGATTTAACGTGTATCTAAAAGATGTATAAAAACAAAAATCATTCTTACCAATACAATTTCGGGGACCGGCGCTGAACGGTATGTATGCGTACGGGTGTCTGTGCTTGGAGTTTTCTGGTAAAAAATTGTCCGGGTTAAATGATTCGGGGTTTGGAAACTGTTTGGGATCTCTGTGTAAAATGTACGGTAGTATAAACGTGTCAATTCCTTTGGGTAACACGTATGTTCCTGATTAAAAGAAAAAAAAAAAATTAAGTATTAAACTGTTGTTAACGCGCCTAAAATGTGCTTTCGAATGTACATGGCTTGCTCTTATGTCGAATACTTCTTTAGACATTATTGTCTTAAAAATGAGAGTTTTGAGCAGAATATAATATTAGAACGAAATGTCGTTTGCTGCATGCAAAAAGATTGATTGTATCATGTTAGATTAAGCTCATTAAATTATATACCAAAGTGCTCGTCTTCTGTTAGCTTTCTCGATATAAGTGGCACGCTCGGATAAAGACGGAGCGCTTCTTTAATGCAGTTTTCTAAGTATCGCATGTCTTTTAAATCTTCCATCGTCGGATCCCGGTCCGAGTCACCGAATATATTTAGAAGTTCTTCGTACACTTTGTTCTAAATAATATTATATTTTAATTATAATTAAATGTCAATTAACACAATTTTCGTAGAATTATTTGTAGTCATTTTAGTGTAACATCATAATAACAAAATTGTACGAATAATATTATAATAATTGGTTTTTTACTATTGTTTCTTTACCTGTACTGCTTGATTGTGTCCCAATAGGTATAGACAGTAATTGATGGCTAATTGTGTGGTATTTTGACCCTGAAAAAAAAATTATATAATAATCTATCACTTCGTGTTAATACTTGACAGTTGACGGTCGTTAACTTACTGCAAAGACGAACGTGTTGACTTCATCTCGGATATCATCGTCTGATAAACACTCTCCGTTTTTTGATGTTTCTATGAGCAAGTCCATGAATATGGCTTTTTTATTGCCTAAAATTTGTAATCGTCATTTATATGAGTCGATGGGGATGAATAACAATAATCTGATCAGGAAGAAAGAGTATAATAAATTGTTTTGATGTTTCATGTTACTGATAATAACGAACAACAAGTGGTAAGCAAAGTAGAGAATAGAAGAATCGGTCAAGACAGGCAACAGGTTTGTCGTGTGACAAAAATGTGCTATTTAGAGTTATTGAAACTTATTAGCTGCATTAAGAATGTTGAGATTGATGTGTGAGATGCTCAACAGAATTAGGAGTTAGTATTTAACGACGCTAATAGCAATTTACTGATCAAACCTTTAGTTTCTAACTCTCCGTAACACTCTTCGTTGAGCTGATCTTTTAAAATTCTTCTTCGTTGTTTTATCAACTGGAAGCAGACAGATTTTAAGCGTTAAACCTCAAAAGATCTTTATCAAACTCCCAAGATCCATACTCACGTCATTTGTAAACGCATGCAATACGGTTTTGTATATGATTTCTTCTTTTCCTTTTTGTGTGTATTTAAATATCCAGTTTGGCCAAAGCAGCGGCCTGATCGTTCTGTACGTAGCGATATCTTCTAGTCTAAAAAGGAATCATTGGAACAATCTTGTATTGGGCGATTATTAAGATGGTAAAAGCGATTGAGTTTAGCTAAAGTTGAAAGCATTCGCAGAATAGTGACATTGACCGGCCGTACTTGGCAGATTAATCAAAACAAATAAACTTTCTATCGTTTAAAGAAAACTACTCACAGTTGAATGATGTTTTGAAAAAATTACCTGTGAATGGCGTTGACGATTTTCCACCTATCGTTTTCCGTATCGTCGTCTAACGGTATGCCCATGGCTGTTTCTGTAAAAAGTCAAAAAATATATCAGTGTATGAATATAGGAGATAATGCTAAGTTATCCGTAATAGCGCCAGAAATCCTCATAATATCCCTAAGGATTTCTTTAGTGAAATAATAAATGTCTCAAGGACATTCTAGAGGGATCCAATGATCTAATAAGATCGTCCTACAAATGTCCTAATTCATGACTCTTTTGGAGAAGCATTGTAGGTTTTGTTTTATTTTCCTTTTCCGGTTTGTAACGCCTATAGATGGACTTCCAAGTGTTGTAAGGGTTGTTCGCTTACCGCATATGAAGTCCATAGTGAGAGCTCGGGTGTGTGGGCTTATGTCGAAGAAATCGTTTGTTGGGTCTTGATCTTTAACGAGATGTTTGAGGTCCTCAATAAACTGACGAGTTCTGTTCGTGAACACTTCAACAAAACTCTTGAGGATAGCGAAATGGAACGTTGGCGTGATCAGTTTTCTATGCATGTGCCATTTGGCGTCTAAACGATAAAGCAAAAAAAAAAAAGTTAAACAAGCTTGTAAACGAAAATTGATTGAAAAAAAACCCAAGCATAAGTATTTAACAGATTGCTAGAAAGTAATAAATTCGAAATTAATAACAAGAATCACAGAAAGAGATTAAACCCCATCGACTTATTTAAAATTCGCCCTCCTATTGAATGGTGTCAGATACGTACATATTAGTTATAAATATTTTTTGATGTTTTCTTTTTATCATCCTGCAATCAAAGCTATTCTATATGATATATCATTTAAAAAGTTGATGTAAGACTAAAGTATTTTCACATATAAGTCCTTAAATGTATGATAAAAATTAAAAAAGTAAAAAACCCAAAATACATTATTCAGTTTTATACATTAGTATTTATTTATTTTTCCTACTCATCACTTTCTGATATTTTTTTCTGTGATTTTATTCGTACAATTTGTGTAATTAAAACGACTAATTTGGATGCATAGATAACACACCAACACAATGTTAAACAACATTTACCTTTGTTGGTGATAAGACCTTCGCCCAACAACGGCCTGAGACTATTGTAAATGTATCCTTTTTCGTTGTGTTTGTTTTTTCTGCTTATAATTGCCTGGAACGATGAATACAATTTTCATATTCAAAATATAATATTGTTTAGTTCGAATAATCTAAAAAAATACTATGTGTATTACTACAATGGTAAACGTCTAAAACTTACTTGAACTGCCTCGGGCGATTGAATAATGATTATCGGTTGGAACATCAAAAATACTCTATTGAATAATGGGGACGATTCTCTCCATTCCATGGCGTAATTAAAAAAATCTTAAAACCATTACATAGCTTAATTAGCATAGTTACTACATACGAACAATAAATACTTGATTTTTTTTTGTAAATTTTTAAAAATACAATAAGGAATTAATTAATAGTATAACAATTCTATAAATAAAATGAATCAAGTATTTTTTGAGAAATTTTTAATCGAACTATGCTATAAAAGAGTCTAGTTGACAGTTTTATTGGAATGTTTTTTCTTGTAATAATATGTAACTGTAATTTAAAGCTCCATTCTAGAAGAGAACGATAAATCTTTTAAAACATTGAAGTTTATATTGTGTTTTTGGTTTGTTTTAATTTTAGTCTTTAACGGCCTATTAAGATTTAAGAGTCTCCTTAAAAGTGGAAAAAATGTTTGGGAATTTTTTTAAAAAAAAAATATTAGATTTAAACTACATACATTAAATTAATATTGACTTTATTTTTAAATAAATATTTTTATGAATGTTGAATTTTTATGTATGTTTGAAACTTGCATGGATTGAAATATCATGCCGACGATTTTCAGATTCTCAGTGACATGGATACATCTGAAAATCATCCGCATGAACTATTTGTATATTAAATAAAATAAAGAATAGAGTGCGAGTATTCTATTGGGCTTAGATCACATGTGTAAGCATGTAATGTAGAATAATGATTGTTTTGAATCGAATACCAAGTTATAGAATATAATAATACTGTATGACTAGTTCTAAGTTTGGCTGAAATAGTATTAGGTATATTAGTATGAAATTACTTACAGTTAAATTTAAAACATTTACTTACTTTGCTTAGACATGAACGCTTTATGATTTCCAAAGAACCAGTGAGTTTTTGGTCCAGGAAGTAGCCTTGCCATCGAATACATGCGGTACCAGTCTAGTATGATTCTGCTGGATTTAAATGTTAGTATCAAAGATAGAATAACGGGCAAAGCATATATAACGCTGTTCTTCAATTCTGTCATAAAAATTGCCTAAACCATTAAATCCATTAATTCAAATAATATTACTAAATGATTGATTTTGTTTTTTAATTTTTCTCCGTCCACTGTTCTATCGATTTTATCCAGTACAGTAATAAATTTAGCTCAGCTGGATCAATACAACTGTTATTAAATTTGAAAGGTATTTAATAACAATCAAAATGATTCGATGCGAATTTCGCTTTAGTGTAAGAATCCAGCACAGTAAAAAATTAGTACCTATCTAAGACAATTGGCGAATAATAATTTTTAATAGTTAACATTGACCAAGCTAGGCGCTAAATTACTGCTTTCTTTCTATAAAGAAAGCATTACTGAGTTTTAAGTTCTACAATACCTTTTTTCTCTTCTTCTTATTTCTTCTACGTCTTACCTAACACAAATGGATTAATAATGCATTTGTCGTTGTTTCATTTCTAGATTGCTTGATTTGTTTTACTTCATAGTTTTTGAGTAATCAAGTAAGTTAAATAAGTATAGTTAATTTGTTTGTAATCCAAAACAGTAAGTTGGGGAGGCTAACTTTTTATTGTGCTGGGTTCTTATGACATTTTACCGAAATTCGCATCGAAGTAGCTATTGTGTAACTTTCTTACTGTACTGGTTATGGTTTTCGCTGTGCTTGTTTTTTTTTAACTTTAAATCTTACTTAGAAGTGTTATTTTAAATTGACTTTATTTATTAGTGTATTTGTTGTATTATAAATTTGTTCATTTTCAAAAACTGAACATTCTAATTTAATATAAAGCCAAACCAAAGGAAACAACATCAATCAATCACACATTTTTTTAAAAATAAATGAAAAAAAACAAATTTTTTATTCAAACCATAATATTTAATAATATATTGAAACCTTTTTTTTTTTTTTTGCAGAAATTTAGGGTAGCATTTTGTAAACATCTCCGATCATATTTATCATATCTCTTTGACTCCTTAAATAGTTTTTTTTTAATTTGTAATTATTTCTTTGTAAAAAAAAAATAAATAAGTAGTTTAAAATCAAATAATGAAAGCGAAAGGCTACAAGTGTAAAAGTGTCTTTAACTTGCTAACTCGTTTTAACTAACCGATAATACTGCGCAAAATAATACACGTATTACTGGAAAATCCATTTTCAACAAATATTCGACTTACCATAAGTAACTGCATTTTTTCAGATAATTGTGAAAATGATTAGAAATAAAACCGGCACAACTCTTCTAACCGGGAGAAACAAGATATACCGAAATAAATCTTAAAATATTATAATACAGATGTAAGCATTTTTCGGCAATAATTAAGAAAGCGGAATTATTCTCACTGCAGCAATACGTGTCCGCAATCCGTGAAACTAATTGAGTAGTAGACATTTAGAAAATATTCGTCTGGTATGCAATGTTAAACTTTTTAAAATAACGTGATCGTGAATAATTCATGTGCCAAATTTAAGCGAGACGCATTTTTTTCTAGTGTTGTATAACTAGGGCAGTAAAATGGACTTAATAATAAAATATATTTGTGAGTAATTACATTTTTTGTTGTGCTTCTTACTAGTTGACATACGGCAAAAACACTAATAGTGATAGTAACCCTTAATAACAAGTGCTAATAGTTTTAACGTTAAGTTGCATAATTTATCTACTGCTAATTTTACATTTGTTCTATGCCTGCTCAAAATTAGGCCGGAAGAATAGTGCCATTCATAATATACTTCAACCGGACAGGTCTATAAAACGGTCTATTAGGACATATACAGGCAACATATTGATGTAAACAATGACATTGAAACTTTTTTTTTAATGCAAATTACTGTCTGAACCTACTAATATCGAATATATTATTCTTACACAGACATATTTTGACTTCACGTTTTGAGAAAAATTAAATTTCTACGCGCTGTATTTTAATAACTGAACTCAAAATTTAACAATGATCGTGGTAGAAAAATATTAAAATTGTGTAATTTTTAAATAGTAAAATAAAATTAGGTGACTGAAATTCGGATTTTTTAAGTATCCGGAGAATCAAATCAGGTTATAACTTTTTTAAATGTTTACCTATTTAACAGAACTACGGTTACAAACGAGTAATTTTATTACTTAATTTAAAAAAAAATTTCTCTGAGTAAATTGATAAATTCGAATTTGTGAAAACTGGAAATTCTCATCGCTAATGCCGTGGCCAGAGCACAGGAGAGGACAGATGGAGTGTAACTTTGGCGGTTTTTATTTATTTTTTCATTTTCAGATTTAACAGCCGATAACACAGTGTAGGTTTGTTAAAAGACACACGTCTTGACGTTTGCGAATTCATAAAACAAATTATATAATTACATTATCGGATTCGGGGGGGAGGGGGGTAATTTTTTTACGATTCGTTATTTACAATAATTTATGTTGTCTAAAAAAAATCAAAAACAAATCCGTTTGTCGTCGTCTGCGCGAAAATCTTCTTGTAATCCTCGCCGAGGTGCCACAAGCCATACAAGTGTACCCACTAAGAAAGCTCTATTACAATTTGTCAACGTTCGATGTTCGAATCAGGCCGATAATGCGTTTGTTGTAAACGGCTCGCGTGCCAGTTAAAACGATAGCGATTGACAAATGATGAAGAGCCGGCAAAGGCGCTTATGTCGACAAATGTGCCCACGTTATCTCGTTTGAACATCAGATGCCAAAACCCTAACCGAAGCAAGCGACACGACCCGAGTGGAGCGTGCAAAACGGATATTGCATACAATTGCACTTATTCTGATGTGACAGCGTGTGCCAAGTTGAGACCTTTGAGCATATTCATTTACTATGTAGAAAATTAATATCTTTAAAAAAAAGTTTTTGCAAAAATTTTGTTGAAAACGTCAATTATACAATGTGTTAAGGTAGATAGAGCACATAGATATTTTGTTATATTATAACTAATGCCTTTAATAGTTCGTAAAACAAATAGGAAATTTTAATTAAAAAGAAACCCCTTGTGTGTACGATTAGGTACAGACAATGACTATCGACAGAATATGTTCATAAGGCAAAACGCAAGTACAAAGGGGTCGGGTTTTGAGTTGGACGAAGCTGACTCAATGTCATAAAATTACATTCAAATAAACGTTTAGACGCGAATCAGTAGAAATACAACTATTGATAATAGTATTGTAATGGCAATAATGATTAATGTACTTAATATTATTGTACCTATTTTTACTATTAATCAACAGTTGATATTTGTTGAAGAGACTTATGACTCTGAATTCAAGTACCAAAAATAACACAAGTCTTGATTAGTCGAACAAAAAATAACTTTATGTTTACATTTAGTCCAAGGTCTAAACACAAACAAAAACTGAATAACTTGATAAAAACCATTTTTTTGTTTAATATTTGTTTGTATACACGTTTCTCAAAACTCTATAATATGTGAAATGTAACAACTTAAATTACAATTTGTAAAATACTGGCACGTGAAAATAATAAGTAAACCCGTGTGCATAGATGCACAATCGATATGCACTATACACATTTAATACGAAAACCGTTAAAGTGATTAAATTCTTCGAGAAAAAATACAGGTTTAAAAGGAGGGTTTTCATGACGAAATAAAGTTTATGAAAGTTTTACGGTCAAGACCTATTTCAAAAAGAAGAGTTTTTCTGATAATTATGACTGGTCGATAAGAAGTTTTAATAATAAATGCTTAAGGAGTTATTATCGTTTATATGAGTAGGCGGGGCGGAAATTGTGCATAGATAAAAACAATACTCCACTGTGCTCCTTTCTTTCACAGTTATAAACGTTAATTACTCCAAGTATAATTATTCAAAACTTGTTATATAGGCCAGTAAACTTTACAGAAAAAAAAACGAATCCTTTAAATTGGCTTATCAAATTGTAAAAAATAAAGTATAAATTGTAATAATTTGTACTGTATTGGTTTGTATTTTTAATGATTTTAATTTTTATAACACAAAATATTTACTGTATAACATTATAGTGATTGTGTGTCGAATCTTCGTGACCCTCACTGTATAGATACTATATTTGAAATTTCTTTATCCAATTTTGTCTCCAAAACTAAGAAAATGGTTTAAATTATTAGTTGACCTTTGATTAATATACTTTGTTTTTAGCTCTGTTTATGTTATTTTTGGTGTTTAAATTAGGCTTTTTTTTTTTGGTATTTCATTAATCATCTTATTGGTTTATTCCCCGTATTTGATGTCCAACCAAACATAGTTGAACTTTTCCACTTTCAAACAGTTATTGATGTCTACTCTAGAAAGCATAATACATGAAATACGACAAAAGGTATTTTATGAAAACAAATCTGAATTTCCCCTATTGATGTGACTGGCTGGTATGAAATAAAACATATTAATCTAATAATACAAAACGTTAGTCTCGGGCAATCCAGCCCGGTATAGGTATAATTTATTCTTAAAAGAGGGAAACACCGGTCGTCGTCCAAAGGTTTTCGGACTTGGGACGAGGTAAACGAGGGGAAAGACGGGCATGGGTAGACGGTGAAAAGGACATTCGAATAGCAAAGAGGAGCGCCGTACTTTAATTAAATCCCCCTCTGCGCGTAATCTTCTTTGTTAAAAAAAAAAGAAACACACACACATATATATAATACATATATATCTGAATAAAGTGTATACATATATTTTCAAATTCCCGGTCATCGTTGTTTTCCGAATTCTTTCTGCATTTTTTTACTATTCCTTCTTCCTTTCCCAGCCTCCCCCCCCCCACCTGTACGTTTATATTATAATACTGAAACGTCGTTTGTAGTTTTTACCAACTTTGTTGTGTTAGCGAGACGGCCGTTTGAGAGCCTCTCGTTATTCGCCAAAAGTCGCATAAATAAATCCGCAAACAGCGATATATATAGTCGTTTGGCTGTATTATTTTTATCAGTTCAAAGGTTTGCGAAACGTGTAATGAAGTGGCGGCGCAAAGAGAACCGACCTTACCAATATTTAAGTATAAGTGGGTAAGTATTGAATTTAACCAACTGATATAAAGTATAAAAGCTATAAGGAACTACTATTGACAACGATTCAATAAAAATTTTGCAGCAGACACAATTTAACATAATATATTTTACTTATTCTGTCGGTTTAGGAGATTTATATGTGGCTTGAAAACAACATCAAAAGTCAAATAAAAAGTTGATTTCTACTTTTAGTATTTCAACAAATTGCGAGAAGTATTTTTCAATACTGAGAAGTAAGTTAAATTCAAGTATTTTTAAGGGGATTGCATGCGCTCTGTTTTTTCGTCGATTTAGACCAAAAAGCCTGCAAAATTTTGACTACTGAGAATGGTCTGATTTTAATTCTGTAAAAAAATTCGAGTTCTTTGGCAGCTCACTAGGCTATGTAGGAAACAGATGTTTTGCTTTTTTTACGTAAAAGAATTGGGTTTCAATATTGAAAAAATTGCAAATTTAATTAATTTAATTACAAGAAACTGAAATGTTTAAATAAAATTCGGGTACCTACATAACATAGTAAAGTAGCCAAAAAATTCGAATTTTGTTTACAGAATTGAAATTGGTCCAAACTGTGTAGTCGAAATTTCGTCTGGCTTTTTGATCTAAAATAACCAAAATAGCTTTTATTCATAGAACAAATTATTTAAATTAAAAATAATACCTCGAAGCTTTTACAAATTAACCGGTAAATTAATTGGCACGGTCGACATTTTGTTAAAACCTCTTTTTTCTTAAATATTGCCCATACAAAATTCCTTAAAAACAAACCGCATGTAATCCGTGGTTTAAAAGCCTTTGTTTATCAGTTGGATGAAGCAAAAAAATACTAAAAATGTTCACCTGTAAAATTGAAAAAAAGTTAACATTCAACGTTGCTCCAGGCACCCGTTCGATTGTTAGAGATGACCAAAATATAAGACTACAGTCTTCAGACACCATTGATCAGATTTTTTTTTTGCCATTGAACTAATACTAGTGCTGATATTGTAAAAAAATTTTAAATCCCAAAACGCGGAATGTTAAACGAAAAATACTTTCCGGGCTGCTTATTGAGATTGGAATGTCATTATAATATAATATTATCTATGTCTAAATTATTAACTAACGAACAAATTGTTCACTCCGTCCTAGTCTACCCAAGTTTTTTCTCTTTTTTTTTTTTTTTACTAGATATGTACTTATTTTTGTCGGACGATCATCGTAGTGAAGGCTGGGCGTTGCATTGTGTTGTCAGGAATTTGATTTCGGTGGAAATAAGACGGGTACGGGACGGCCGCCCGAGGGGTTTAAGTTCGAACGGCAACGCAAAGAAGGCTGCGTACTTAAGATAGTACGAGGCAGTGGCTCCTTT